CGTTAGTGGTCATTATTTTAACACTTTACCGCTCCAAATCTACATGATGTACAACATTTCTGCAGTTTGCATTTTAGCACCCCGTGTACCAAACTGCAAATGAAACTTAAAACTAAATCAGGCTGCAAAGATCAATCTCTTTTTTTGTACTGACAGTGAGAGATGCACTGAAGCCGATATATTTCACGGTCTGTCAGTGTCGATAAAAAGTCATGTGTCCAACTGTCGCATGTTTTTATAGCAGCTTCAAAATCTCGGCCATCTGCCTGAATGTCCAGTCTTACCCAGTAAGACCCAAAAAGTCTGCTATGTGCACACTCACATGTAGAGATTTACACCTGTGGATGTGGGTGAAGGACAGACATACTTCAGAGGGACATTGTCTCTAATTTTAAATCTGCTCTGTGTAGATGATTAACAGCAGGACAGCAGACTTGGACGGCAGCGGTTTTGAATTAAACATTAAAAGATTGATGTTGTTATTACTCCTCCTCCTTTTTTTCCCCATCACAAATCTAATACTTATTCCATAAACGGAAAAACTGTGAGTAATGGAAGCGTATTGAACAACAGCCTTTTTGTTTTTTTTGTGCAACAGGTTCCAAACTTGCCCCGTGATTATTGTCATGCCATCGCAGAAAGTCAAGTGGTCCCTCTGCAGTGTCGACCCTCCATGCATTCACACACTTGTTCCTCTCCTTGTAAGGTGACGAGTGTCCCCGCCAGGCTGCCGGTGGCCCGAATATGATTATGAGCCAACACGGTAGCTTCCTGCGAGCCCACGAAGAGGCTCAGATATCAGGCGCCGAGCCACTCCCATTGGCCTCAAGTGCCATTGTGATATCAGACACTTTTAGCCTAGGGTAAGGGGACAAACTGGGTGGCAAGTGTAAAGCGCCAATGTCATAATACTGACATCATCCCTTGTGAATTATATGTCCCCTGGTAATTTGATCCCTCGGTGGCACTACTCCACTGGCTGACAGACAGGAATGGCAGGTCTGTATAGTTTGCTGTAGCTCAGTTAGTAAAATGGGTTAACCCGAAAGTGCTCCTCATTTTGCATATGGCCTCTGTGCTCAAGGGGTAAATCTTAGGATGCACTTACTTATTTAATGGTGCGTTCGAAGAAAAAAGTACAGTACATCACTGAAATCATGTGTCAGTTGCAATAAGGCTACATTACACGACCGGTTCATGAGACACTTAAACGTTTATATGTCTTTATCAGGGGTCAGAGCAGGAGGAATATTGGTTACTGAGTTATCAAGAAAGGTTATCGGTCCTAAAGTTGCACTTATGTATTATGCAAGGACTGCTCTGTGTTAAAATAATTATCAGTTCTCTCATTCAGGCCTCACTATATTACATTACATCAAGTTTAAATATCTAAAAAGATTTCCCTTTGGAGGAACGTGTGTTTGTGGTTTGGTGCAGTTACTTTATTACCTGCGTATGTCACTGGTTTCCAACCTTTACACAACCCTTCAGATTTGTATAGTGGCCCCTTATAGTGTCCCGGCCTCCAGGTCCAAAAGAGTTAAAAGAGTTTTAAAGCTGATTTCTTTTCTCCAGCCAGCTTATTTACTTTGAAAGGTCACGGTCTTACATTGCATCAGAAAAAGGAGGTTTAATAGTGTAGTGTTATAAAGTTCTACAAACTATGTTTATATATAGTCTCATACCTATCTAATGACTTTTAAAACAAAGTTAATCTGATTTTAAAATGCTTCCATGCCTCCAAGACAAATATATTGACTTCTTGACCCTGAAGTGATTTTTAAAAATGTTTTTCCGCCTACAGCTCATGCTCTGCTGCATGAAATAAACAGGACAGACATCTCCAGCCTGCTTTCATTAATATTTCATGATAAATAAAATCAGAGATGACCTGAAATACAGCGTAATCAAACCAGTTTAGTCCTCAGTTCCATTTGCTTCCTACCCCTCTTGTCCCCCCTCCCCTCGTCCCTCAGACATTCCCACACCCAGGGTTTGTTGATTTTCTGTTGATGTTGGCATGCTTCTGTGGAGCCAGGGCCGGGACTGGCTGGCTGTAGTCGCTCATGGCTGGTTCCAGCCTCTGTCACCGTCCTTTATTCTCCTCAGTCTGCGACTTCCTGTGTACAGTATGCCACTTATCTCTTGTTTCTTTAACATGCCTTGTTTCTACGTCAGCAGTAGAAATTCCTGTGCATTTATTGTTCTCAGTGATTGCATTCATCCAGAAGTGCGCGGGGGGAACTCTAATCATGGCTTTATCCTATATACCATGCAAATCAGCTGATAAAATGCAGTAAATAGACAATCTGAGGGCAAAGAACAGCAGACTGGATAGATTTTCAGTCTCTAATTGGACATCAAAAGGGTCAAAACAAACCATCATGGAGACTAAAAATCAATTTTTTTCATTTCTTCACATTACAAAAGCAGAGAGGATTAAAGAAAAGTTCATGTAGTGTCTGATTTAAAATTGGCTTGCACCCATTATATCACTAAAGTCAAAAGCTGACGTGCAAAGCTAGCTTGTTAGCGGAGCAAGTTTAGATGTTTAGTCAAAATTATATTTAGCTGCTGCCTCATTCAATTATGTGGAATAGCTAACTGAAATTATTAAGATGTTGTTCATGAAAACTGATATTTTTTATTTACAGATAGGGGAAATCTAGAGAAAATCAAGAAGAAAATATAGGTTTAGCTTTTGCTAAAAGCCAGCTAGCTAACACTATAGTGCTCCTGCTTTAGCTGGCTACTTGGCTTGTCTCCATGTGGGAAAAAATAATGAAAGAACCAGAATCAGGTCTTATATCAGTTCTGAGAAATATGTAGTAATTGCCTATTGCCCTGTAGCGATTTTGCTTTCTATATGCATGACCTGATTTAAACCAGAGCTAGCATTCGCAACTTCACTTTAGTTCTGCAACACTTTCTCCATCTCATTTCATGTGTATGCTACCACTAAGCAATGACGCAAAAAAAAAGAAAAGAAGCAAAAGTGACACTATGTCTTGTTGGTAATATGTGGTCCAAGTGTAAAATGTAACGTCTCAGTGTTATATGATAATAAAGTGCCAGCAACACAGGCGCTGTCAGCATCTTTAAGCAATTGTTACCTAGGCAGAAAGTGTTCTTGCAACCTGACTCTGACAAAGAGGCTCCGTCTATATATATGATAATATTTTACTTCTCTTTGTGATCCTACACAGTGTCATTTTCCTTTGACTGATCAACATGGGACAAGCTCAGCTTATCAAACACATTGAAAAACAACAAATACAAAGATGTTTAAAACTAAAATTAATTCATTTGAAAGTTTGGTTAAAAAAAAAAAAAAAAAAAAAAAAAAAAAAAAAAAAAAGAAGAAACTGAATGTGCCTGACTGTCTACTTTGTGGCTCGGCTTGGGTCATTCACAGTGTTGTTGACATAATTATTGGGCGGCGGACACTGCTGAGTTATCAGTTATGTGTGTCTGAGTCAAGAGGTTGGTCACTGGTTACAGCATGACTGTTGCTTTTAAATGAGGCTGCGGTTGTTGGTGTGGTGTGACGATCTTCAGATACAGACAGGAAAGTGAAACAGGAGCACAGACACACTTTTGTACACGCAGCAGGTTCATATAAAGTGTATAATCTTATCATCCTGCTCAGAGTCATTTGAACTGTTGTCCAGCTCCGTCCAAATGTCATTAGAGTCCGTACTGGCCAGTTCTGCCTCAATGTTCTGCCTCCACTTTGTTATGTCAGTCAAGCCTGAAAAGACGGGATAAAGCAGGGAGGAGGGGCTCATTTTTGGGAAAGGGGTACATTTCTAAGTAATGGCCTCACCACAGGGTCTAAATGAGTGCTCTACGTGGATACAACAGAGGGATTTTGTGCTCAAGCAACTGTCTTTTTGACCCGTTGTATTCTTTCTTGTTCCTCTCCACTCCGTCTTTCGGGAATCTTCCCCTGTCTTTTCAGTCTCAGTCAGAGCATGTGTGCACTCACATCAGTGTTTGTCCACCTCACCATTAAATAGCACTTTCTCTTTTTGCCTCTCTGGATTCTTTTAGAGTGGCTATGATTTGCATGAGAAGTGGCTGAGAATGGGCCCCCTTCCCGTTTTCCTCCCTTTGTCCCACCGTTCTTTTATTCCAAATTCTTCTCACTAAAGCTCCCTCCTCGCTTTGTGCTGTGCATTATATAAGAGAGCTGCGTAACACCGGCCCATCAGTCAGCTAAGAAGGTCATGTTGTTATTATTATTTATCATTTCCGCAGCTACATAATTTCCCCTCCCTGTCCTGGAAGTACGTGAACACTGAAATCATTTTCACTTGAACAGATTTTATTGTTTCCGAGCCAAAGCACATGGAATTGTGATTCAGCTGTTGCACACACAGACCTCATTCTGGCTGCGGGTGTTGATAGAGAAGGGTGAAAAATGCTCTGTAGACATTATTAATGAGGCAGTGAAGCCACTGAAGCAGGCCTAAATGTATTTATCTGTCCTGCCAGGGAGGCCTGGCTTTAGCTGTGAGCTGTAGAGCTTTGGGTTATTTGGTGTCTCTCAAGAGACTGTGTCTATATTTACCTAGGTGCAGCTCTGCAACAGGCTTTTAACTTGAAAGTTAGGTAACAATTACCACGAAGTCGCTCCATGGCAACAAAAGATTATGGGCTTAACCTGCACCTATGCTGACAGGCACCGGTACAGATTGTGTACTGTTAGTGCAGCTGCAGTGCTCACAGTGTCCACAGGGGGCGTTCTGACCTTTGACACTGTCTGGACGCACAACAATCCTGTTAGAGCTGGCTGTCTGGTATGGCACAGCGTGATGTGAGTAATTGACAGAGACCCTCAAAGTTATTCTGCAGAGGTTCTTCAGCTGGATAAGCAGAGTTAGCCAATGACACAGTTAGCGTGTGTGTGTGTGTGTGTGTGTGTGTGTGTGTGTGTGTGTGTGTGTGTGTGTGTGTGTGTGTGACAAAAAAACTGCAGCAAAATAAAATTCACATGATCAGGAAAATAGTTTTTTAATGTTGACAGTCAGAAAGAACCGAAATATCTTAAGTTACAAGAAATTTCACATGACACACAAATCCGATCATTAAAAAACAGTAAATAGTTTAATATAATTTTTCACATTAATCAGTTCTTATTGTGTCTTCACATTCACCAGATCCACAGTTTTATGTCTATAGATCAAACAGCAACAATTATTTACAATTGCAGTTTGATCTTTATCTGTCCTATAAACCGTTGAAAATAGGTAATTATTTAATTCAGTGATTATTTACTTCAACCAAAGAGAGTCGAGCAACACACACGAACCATCATCAAGGATAAGATTCACACAGTAAAGGACTAAGGCTTTGGCGTGTTTTTAAAAAGACGGAAACAAAAGCATCAAGGAGTAACACAAAGATCTCCTCAACATGCTTCACAGAGACATATCTCTTAATATGAACGTCAGGAAATGCGACCTGGTCCTTGTAAATGCAGGTCACAGCAGAGCGATCTTCTTCTTCCCTTTCACAATCCACCTTCATCCTGCAACGGGGACAGAAGTCACATGTTTAGTACGTGTTTTCTCTCAGATGACTGACAGAGCTGTAAATAAATGTGAGCATCGCGTTAATGTGTAGACAGTTTTTCATGTGTCTGCATTTCCTGAGGAGTGTTACCGGTGTAGCACAACGCTAAACGATGTGTTAGAAACTGCAGTGTTTGTGAATCCTGTACGATGAACGCGGTGTCTTTCACTTCCACTTCTGTCATTATTTCTTTTTTAATGAAGAATCATCACTATACATTCAACCATGTGCTAAATCTGAGCTTAATCATCAACATATGTACAAAATGCTGTTAGTTTACTTATTCTGCCCTTATTGTGCACGTGAGGAACCTGATCAGTCGCCGTAATCTGTCATGTTTATTTTTTTAGAAAACCTTTTCGACAGATCTAATATGATGAAAGGTAAAGTCTTTAAAAGGGTGAAAAGCGCTCTCGTTTTTCTGTATGTTGGATTTAAGTTACACCAACAGCCGGTTTGGTCAGAATGAAGAACAGCTAGCGCGGCTCTGTTCAAAGGTAACAAAATCCACCGACCAACACCTCTGAATCTCACTAACTGACGTGCTACAGTCCCATAACAGCCAGTCTATTTCGTTTCCTTGCTCACACACTATCAACACAGGGTCAAAACTTTTTCCCTTTCCTGTTTTGAATCAGTGGCAGACTTGATAGAAATCCAGAGTAGCAACCAAAACAGCAGTAAAGCTACAAAGCTGCTATGAGTCTAAGTCATACATGAAGCTGCTAAGAATTAGCTGGCTCACTTCCAGCAACAGAACCAGTCAGTACAAAACATGCTGGCTCACACTGGCGTGGCTGTATTTAAGAAAATTGTTTAAAATTTCATTGCTTCCCCTTTTTATGACCTCTCAGGGTCCTCTGTGTAGACTTCATGACCTGCAGGGACTCAGAAATCCTGTTCAAAACTCATTTCATTGTGTAATTTGAAAGAACTGCTCGTGTCCTCTTCTGCTCTCCCATCTCAGTTTACTTTGTTTTGTTTTTTTTTTTCCCCAGGATTTGTCACCTACTTCTTTGCTGTCACGACAGTCTCCGCACAGGCAACCCAAGCAGCCATTGACCACCTGGAGGCCGCAGAGCGCCATCTGCACCACGCCCATGGCCAGCAGAATGGAGAACAGGACGACGTGCCACATCACCGCGTTTTTGGGGAAGACACAGATCGACCACAGGGTCTGGTTTACAAGGTAGCTGCCGTTACCCCTGCGAGGGAGAGCAACAGTAAGAGCATAAGCATTGTACAGGACACACATACAGCATTAATGAAAATAAGCTGTGATGACTGAGTTGGGGAAAAATGTGTCAGTGAGGACATAAATGGAAAAAACGAGGGGTGGAGAAAGAAAGCACATGGAAAATAGAAAGCAGAGGAAGTGAGAGAAAAGGTCCGGATGGAAATATCAAGAGTTCTGTAGGAGTAAAGTTGCATTCACTCTTGCAAAATGATTAATAGTGGAAAATTAAAGGAGTCGTTTGACATTTGGGGAAATGCACTTTTTCACTTTCTTGCCAAAGAGTTTGATACGACTCTCGTAACTGGAAACACCTAACTTACTCTGTCTAAAGTAACAAAATCAGCCTATCAGCACCTCTAAAGCTCATTAATGAACATGCTATGGCTTGTTTGTTTAATCTGTAAAAAAGAAAATACAAAGTGTAAAATAACACATTATGAGGATTTTGTTAATTTGGACGTAGCCACGTTAGCAGTGTGCTAAACTAGGCTAACCAGCTGCTAGCTATAGCTTTATTTTTACCATACATGAGAGTGTCATTGATCTTCTCATCGAACACTCAGCAAAAAAGCGAATAAATGCATTAACCAAAACATTGAGCAATTTCTTTAATTTTCCACACATATGTATTTACTTTCTTCAATATTAACTTTACTTTGAAACTTAACTTTCAAGCCAACATGGATGAAAAGTCAATTTACAATGAAATAAAACCGATAAAAACCACAAATTCTCACTGTTAAAAAGCAGGAATGAGCAAATGTTTTTGCATTTTTGCTTGATAAATTACCGAATTGATCGAAATTGTTCTTGTCTTTCTGTCGATTATTGTTTTGGTAGCGTTGGGGAAATAGTGGATAACCTCAGTTAATGTCTATTCACTGCATGCTTAGTAAAAAAGACAGTAAAAATGAGATCATCATAGCAGAGAAACACAGAGAAAGGCAGAAACAAAAAAGGGGAAACTGAGGTTTGCTGGAGGGAAGGACAAGCTGAGGTTGATATATTAACATCCCACCATGCATTGTGTCGTCAGACTTGGTTCCCTCCTTGTAAACAGTGGTGCCCTTTAGACAGCTATCACCATGGACAGTAATAGCCGACACATTAACAATATGCTCATATTTATTAACCGATGTCCCAGTCACCTGATGGATCTCTATCAGGTGATTCACTTTTACCTGCCCGAGCTTGTAAAAGGCTTCAGTGGAGCCAACCTCGTTCCCCAGAGATAAAATAAGTATCAGACTGAATATTTCTCAACTGCCAATAACCACAATCTGTTGCTTAACATAACCTCCAATCTAAATAAAGACAGACTTTAATTCAGTTATCAGTCGGCCCAAGGTTTTACATTATTGTTTTTCACATTTGAAAACTACATTTTGAAAGGACAAGAACAAGTAGCTGCTCAGTCTGAATTCCCAGATTTATTACAGCTGATTCTGCAACTGAAGCTGCAGATGATACAAACAGAAAAGGCAGGTCCAGTCTGCCACCTGCTGGATTTTTAAGAATATTACATTTGTATGTTTCTATAATGGTGAGGTAAAACTCATCAGCTTCTCAAACAAAGATAAGGAAGTTACACACAGTTGGGCCTGAAAGTCTGAGACCGCTGTATAGCTGATGAGAAGATGAGACAGAGAGATAACAGAGGAGAGCAGAAACACAGCAGTATAGCTGAGAGAACAAGGAAGAACTGCAAAGGGAGATGTTTGAGAGTTTGTTGTCTGTTCAAGTCTGCAGAATATTTTCCACAGCGCTGTTAGCAGCAGGAGTTATTAAGTGACACTTAAATGTATGATAGTGTGAGGAACACTCACGTGCCGAGGTCTTCGAAAGGGTATTCCCAGTTGCCATTACCCACTTGACACTTGGGTCCGATAGCCAGACCTGCTGAGGCCACACTGGTGCAGTAGATGGCTCCAACCAGGCCGAAAGCAGAGGAGAACACCGAGTTCAACATCTTGGGGAGAGATGGGAACACATTACATCATTATTTTACTTAGCCCTTGAACTGGAAGCTTTATCCAGTTCCTCCAGTTGCTCTTTTCCCATTGGTTCTTTTCAACCTGTCAATGTTTTATTTCTAATGTGGGCCCATGGATCCCTTTCAGGTTACTGGGCCACACAAATATCTTTGACTTGATGTGATCCTAGACGGAAAACACACTTGCAAACATCATTCTTGTTGAAAAAGATACGAGTGGTGTCTTAATTAAAAACAATACAGTAATGAAAACAGTAGAATTACTGAATTAGCTACTTCTGCAAAACATATTGAGCAAAACAAGTTATTTTAAAAACGTGGAAGTACACTGAACTAACTAACTACTTCAGTACAGTAAATATAATGCTGTAACAGTACGCTGTCCACATGGTGTATTGCTGACAAAATACACATGATCCTAGTTTGTCCTTTGGTCCTTGATATGACATCTGCCTCGCCTTTTGCCTCTCACCACCCATCATTATCAGTCCCGCCTCAACAACCAGGTGTATATTAAAATCTTTCAAATGACTTTACTCACCCGGCAACGGTTGCCACAGCAACCTGTTCCGCAGCAACCCTTGCCCCCGGCCCTGATAGCTGAACAGCTCGGGCACAGCATCTGGAAAGTTGCAAACAGAAAATGTTGCCTCACTTGTGAAGGAAAAGGATTTAGTTTTCATAAAGAGTTACTTTAAAGTATTTAACATGTAGGTTTGATTCGTGTTTGTGCCTGCAAAAACATGCACACGTCTACCTGCACATTTGCATTTACATTTGTGTGTGTGCATATGTTCTCTTATCTCTTAAAGCAAATATTTGTGAATCCTGAATCGAGCATTTACTATCTGGTCCCCGCAGGCGGTGACATCCACGTAGATAGAGGTGGGAACAGAGAGAGGACAAATTGCCCTGTCACTGTTCCAAACTGTAATATCGCGGCGGTAAAGATATGTCCTTCCGATTGGGTCAAAGGTCTCTCTGAATCATTTATGAGATTTAATATGCCTGGATTATTTATTGTCCTTGTAAACCCTAAAAATGGCAAGATAGCGAGGGTGGAAACTCACACAAGCAAGTCTTTGTGTGTGTTTGTCCCTGGTGATGAGGTGAACAACGTCAGACGACGGTTTTATTACTAACGTTCAGTGGTGTCGGAGTTTCCTTAAAGGTTCTCCTCATGTTATCAGAAAAATGGACCAAAGTGAAAGTATTTAATGCAGACATTTTTTTTTACTATTACATATCATATTATTTAATTATTATCACCCATACATTAAAGTGTAAGCAGCATTTTAATCTTATATTTGGTCGAAGTGGAGTTAATTTGATCTATTTTATATATGTTGGGTAGTTGAATCTATAGCAGTTCATCATAGTTCATCAAATCATCTACAATATTAATGTGTAAAGTAAAGTATTTCTCTCTGAGCTGTAGTAGAATAGAAGTATAAAGTGGAATAAAATGCAAATACTCAAGTAGAAATGTGCCGTAGAATTGTGCCTAAGTTAATGTAGTTTATTTTTATCTGCTTGTTTCAAAGTGAAATCTTACAAAATATACATACACCGCGTATACGTTCACTCATGTTCCCCGTAATTCAGCCTGAAATATTCTTTTGTGTTTAGATAATTAATGATCTTAATTTGAAATTAGGTTTTGGGAGTCATTAGTTTGCTTGACTGCTCAACGCGACTTTTAAATAATGACCTACCACTGACACAGGTACAATTCTAGAGGAATCTAAACTATGAAGAATCTGCCTGTCAAATACTTATAGCCCACATGAAGTTAAAACCCAGATAGGGCAGTAGTTAAATTAAGAATCGAAAGCAGATGAAACCAAAAATAATCTAATAAAATATTCTGTTATACCACAGTTAATCCCTGAAAATAATAATACTCAGTAAAACCTACGGATGACATTTTACAGGTTTACACAAGGTTGAGTAAACGACTGAAAAAACCCTATAAAAGAAACAATAAAACACCCAACCAGATCATAATCCATTACTTACAAAGAGGCCTCCTCCGATGAGCCCCCCCATGAGCCAGACCTGGAGGGAGATCTGATCATTTTCCAGACTGTTCCCGTCGGGGAAGAACAGCAGCAGGTTGGAGATCATGCAGATGAAGGCTGAAGGCAGCAGGACCAGGCCCACCAGGCGGGCGCACTTCCCCGTACAGCACATGGTTTTTTACCTAATATATTCTTATTCGCTGCTCCTTCTTCTTGTCTACTGTCGCACCGAGGATCTCGCCTCCTTCTTAAAGTCAGAGGGAAGTCGATAAAAAAGTGGGCGAAACAACGAAAACGAAAGGAGGCGTCTCGGCGTGAGAAGCTCACTACTGACAGCTCACCCTCTCACTGTGAAAGTCAAACACAACCAGTGACAGTTACAGCAGGAAGGAGAGAGGGAACAAAGGCCAAGTATTGGTGTGGCCGCCTACAATCTGATTTCAGACCCTTGTATCTTCTCATTGGTCTCAGATAAAGACGAAACTCCTCGAGGCAGAAAATAGCATTTTTTTTTTCTCTGATGTGAACATCAAAATTTCTCACAGGGAAACAAAAAAAAACATAAAACCTAAACAAGCTAAAGAACACTGAAAGAAGAAGGATACCTGTGTGTGTGTGTTACTTTCTGACACACCTTCAAAGGGCTGTCTATGGGTTAGTTTTGGTGTAATGGTGGGGATTAGGAGTTGAGGTGTGATGGTTGAGGTGAGTGTAAGGGTTGGGGAATGCATTACGTCGGTGAGTGTCCTCACGGAGATAGAAGTTCAAACATGAGGGGGTGTGGTGTGTCCAGGGGACTGTCGTGCAGGTGGATGCCCTTTGATACCCGCTGATGATGATATCAGTCTGTTTGATCTATTTATGGCCTTTGCAAACAAGAGACAAGGCTTGGTCAACAGACGGTCGACGGTTTTAATGAGAGCTTTGTCTACCCACTAACTAAGCGGTTGAGTCTCGAGTGTAAATTATTGGGCTCATACGCTGCATCGGGTTCATGTAAAGAATTACAGATATGAGCAATGTGACAAAAACTCTGCCATCATTACATGAAATGAATGTTATATATGTCCACTCCTTTGGAGAATTTATCAGCACTGGAACCTATTACTGTTTAGTGTTGAACAGAGCTGGGCAAAAATTCAATATTATCATTTATTGGCTGTCTTATCGTTATCATCCAAATTAATTAATCCAAACAAGCTTACAAAAAATAACAGAATTTGTCTGCTTCTTCTGCTAGTGTGGAAATAAACACATCATACCCAAGTGTTGGGTGAAATGTTTCATTTTTTATTTTACCCCGAAGGCTGGATATCAACCAGGTAAAACACACAACTGCCCCATGACCCCAGATCCTCATGGACCTCAAAAGTCTCAGATACTAAACTAAAACAGATCAGGCCCTTAAGGTGGTACTTGTCAAAAACAAAAAGTAATACTTTAATATTTCAGGTACATGGGGGCGTCAATCAATTAACCCAATATTAACAGATTAGCTCATGCTCCAGCCCTGTGTATTCTCCTGTGTGCTTTGGGTATGGCAACAAAATGTGTGCACACTGCACACCGGAGATAGTTTAAAACAGGGAGTGAGCTCCTATTTGCCAGACCCACTGACACTGATAATACGTGTATATAATATGCAGTACATAATTAAAAGCCATCCACTTCTGATCACTGGCAGGTTTTAGTGTCTTACACCACAAAAACTTCGTTGAGGATTCTGAGGGCATGTCCGCAATTTTCTTTTTTTTTTTTTTCTGAATAGCTGAAACACCTTAAAATGCATCCTTAGTTGAAAAGGGCAAATTCAAAATGATCTGAATGTAAATAAAAATCCTGTTTCACTTTCTGTCTTTGGTGTACACTTTAAGCAAGGTGCGACGTGCCATTCCTCTGACAGGCTCGTCCTGTTTGATGCCAACTACAGTATCAAAACATCAGCTTGTAGAAATCCCCAGTTGTTCCTGTAAGCCTCTAAAAGTGCACAAGTGAAGTCATTTGAGGAAGCACTCGGGGAGAGGAAGCTTATTCAGAGGCAATGGCAGGCAAGTGCATTCTTGTATAATTATTTGAAAAAGTGCAGGCGTTTCAGGTGGTCTGCGGAGTTCAGTCATTTCTTTTAAGAAATCTTTTGAGCAATATTAATGTATTGAGTACTTGAGTAAATGAGCAGTGCACCATTTGCACATTTAATTTACAGAGTTGTGTCAAGCTGTTTGATTGTGGAGTAATACTTTAATAAAAAAAAATATCTAACATTATTCCAACAAAAATGGTCTGATGGTATGAAATTTACCAACCAACTTGTCCAGCCTGTAAGTGTCAGCAAAAAATGTCGCCTTCATTTTCACTTTTTGGATTACGAATGAAAACATAATGAGAGAATGAACAAGGGTGTTTGGTTTGGTTGATATTGCATTTACAATAGTCATTATAAATCATCTTATACCTGCAATCTGATCAACGGGACAACCTAGATAGCACTGGGTGGGGTGATTGGTGTGTCTCTTCCCTCCCTTGCTGTTTAATAATTAATTTCTTATATGTGGAATCGTGAAGAAAATAAATGACAAACATAAAAAAACAACGATCTCCTAGCAATGTGAAGTCACGCCATTTAACATGTTCTCTGTGTTTATTTTTGCACATTTGTGAGTGATCTTCCTTTCAGTATTTGTATTTCAGCTTTAGTAACAGTAGAGGTGACTCATCTGTCTGCGTTAATAGTTTAGGCACTGGTTTATGATGAAAGTGTTCAATAAAACAACACATCATCTTTCAGTTGCCCAAGGACTCTGCCATTAGTTTGATGTGGTGTTACTGAAACTACATACTACTTCATAAAGTGCAGAGATAGGAGAATAATTCCAGTTTATATGTTTGCTCTTTAGCCCCATCTACAGGCCAACCAGTGACGATAACTCTGGGAGCCGTATGGAGGTTTCAACTTCAACCTCCATCACCCAGACCCCCAAGACTATCAGGTGAGTATGTACTATAATATACAATACATTGCAAGTTTACAAGTGTATACCCAACAGAACTAATGCAGTCTAATACAACAGTCCTGAAATAAATCCTACCTTCAATTTCAGCTTCACGGTCATTGTGGAGTTTGTAGTTTTTGGTATTACTGAGTTGTAATTGCATTATGCTGACTCACCATTAAATCACCACTTTAACCAGTTTTAAAAAAACAGCTAAATACTGTGACCTAATGACGGAGGGGTTTATTGCAGGGCTGTTTTATTAGACTTCAGTAGTTTTAGCTGAGTGTACCTAATAAACTGGCAACTTTGCAAAGTTTCAAGGTTATAACATTTTCCAAACTTTACAAAAACACACAACGAATAAATACATAAAAATATATATGAGATATGCCATAAAATAACATGCACTCAGAGCAGTTTATATTATATCCTTAGAAAAATTCATGTGTAGTATTATATGAACAGTGGCGTAACATGCAATTTGAATCTGACATTTTTTGGGGGGATTTCTCACCCCTCTAGTTGCAGTCACAGCAGGATGGGTTGTCCTAACTCTGACACGAGTCATCTTTGGTCAGTATGCTCGTCCTTCATGATGATTGTCTCTGCCATGTTGTCACACTGCTCTCACCACCATCTATCCACAGGTGTTGTGTATTTCAAGGACTGCCCTCAGCAGCCTAACATACCCAACTACCTGTTAGGTTTGGCTCTGATACCTCTCTTAATGATACCATATGTGACCCTCCCGTGTGAAAGCCACGCAGCTCAGCCACAGGAGCACCCCAAGGGTTGCAAAGCCTGTGTGCTGTGTTTAATAACCCTGTTTATCCACACCTGGATCCTGGCAGGTAAGGACAAAATTCTGAAACACTTTTTTTCTTCAATAAAAAAACAAAACAAAACACTCTTTTACAGCCTATTAGATGACAATTAAAGGTCTCTGTCCCCTGTCCCTTACCTGCACCTACAGGTGATGTGTGGGTCTTTTCAATTTATCAGCCCAACTATGATCCCACTGAAGCTGATGGTCTTTACTGTAGTAAGACGCTGTACACATTTGCTCTCTGGAATGCAGTGTGGGAGACCTCAGTGATTTGGGTCGTGCTGGCCAGACTCTGCAGAGGACTGCTGTGTTATGTGGTGGCAAGGCCTGTACCAACAAACAGAGACTTTTATGGGCATGTTTGAGGCACAGATGGAGCACAACTGTGATCTGCGAGGGAGGAAATGTTGAAGTTTGTTCTTTTATGCACTTAAATTATGGAGCTCGGTTACTGTACCGTTTTGTATTTTCATTTATTGTATTGTAATTTGTGATGTGGATATATATGTATATGTGGTGTATATAGTAATATACTGTATATAGTATATATATATATATATATATATAGTAATATATATTATAGGTTTTAGCAAATGGTACTCAAACAGGAACAAAGACTGTCGTCATTGGGACTATTTTCATTTGTGGATTAATACACATTTGGTTCTCTAGTGATGGTGGATGTGGGATCAGGTCAAAATAAACTACAATGCCCCTTTTATTAATGTATTATTCCATGTAGATGTTGACTGTTTTGACCTCAGGGAGTTGTGCAAATCTGTAACAGGCTATTGATGTTTTATTATTATTCATATAAATATTATTATTATTGTTATTATTATATTATTATTTGTCTTTTTTATGTGTTTATTTTATGTAATATTTGATCGAAAATTTCCTGTATTTTTTTTTTATAAAGATGTGTAATACGTGTAATACAAATATTGTGTGAATAAACATTGATATTTACATTCGCATATGGTGTAATATTATCCAAACTTGCAGCCATGCACCGATGAGATGATGGATTACGACGAGTCATCCCGGTTAAAGTTTATTTATTTGAAAGTTGCTGTGGTCTTGTGAGCCCTCTTTTCTCGCGAGAAATTTGGACAGAAGTCTGGAGCGATTTTATCAAGACAGTAACAGTCCCAAACTGGTCGATGACGCCGCTTTCCAACCAGCCAATGGCGTGGGAGTAAACAATGCGCGTACAACTGTAATCATCCCCTGCTTAGTTTCGCTCTTGTTGTTTCAGCAAACCCGGTTTCCTGACGCAAAACCAAAGTAAAAAATTAACAGGGCTGTCTTCCATTTGTCGGTCACATGACGGTGCAGCTGCAAAAGGTGACATAGCCCAAAAACTGGTCACCAAAAACTTCGAACAGTCTCCATTTGCAATGACAGGCAAGTCCACCTCTCTGTCAGACGCTGCTCTCTGTCTCTAAACTTTTCCTCATTACAAACCTGTTTTACTACAGCTGACATATGATTTGGCTCATCATTAACGCTGACTAACTTATTTATTAAATCCCGTGTGTTGTTTATGTTATGCGCAGATAAGGTTAAAGAGCTCGTTTCAAGCTGCCTACAGGCCCGGGACATGGCATACTGTCCATACAGCCAGTTCCCTGTCGGTGCTGCCATACTAACAGCAGATGGCACTATAATCAAAGGTAATAACAGTAATTACATATTTCTGGACAGAACACTGATGGGACAACACTGTATACATGTGCACAGAAGCTCTGCAATCAATTACAATAAATTCTACATTTTGAAAGTTCAGTTTGGATAACAGTGAGTTGGTGGGGGTGTAGATTAAATTCTGACCTTTTTGCAGGTTACAGTTTGTGCTGTAATCATTCTGTCTCACTACACTGAATTTATTTTGTCACCTCCAAATATACTCATCATAGTCTATCCAAAAACAGTTGAAACAAGTAATTTAGGTAGATTAGTAAAGTTAATAAATACCTAAAAGTTGGGCATTCTTCAGCCAGTGTTTATTAAGGATGCAGGTATTGTTTTGGATTCAGTTTGGCTGGTGGTGGCTGAATGGTCCTCCATGTTTCACTCTGCTGTTTGAATCCTGCTGCTATATGACCTCCACTGGGAGGCAGGTGGGGCTGAGCTACAGACTGTACTTTGACAACACAGGGTACAAGGGCTGGAATAACTACAAAGGGGCTGCAGGTAGCACAGTACTGCCCAATGTTCTCGGGACTCCATCTTCAAATATCCACACATATGTAATTGTTGACTCTGCTTCTTTCTCAGTAGTATTATAATCTTTTTCAAATTTATTAAACTTTATATATATTATATGTAAAACTGCGTCTTATCTTATCTTATCTTGTAATTATTATATTATGATATATTTTGATATAAATAATAGACTGGCCATTCAACAGCATAATAAGTATTTTAATTTGCAATGGAGTATTTCTATATGATGTTCTTGCTACTTTATAAAGTAAGCAATCAATATTTACACATTCAGAACAATTACAAAGTGATTTGTTAAGAGGGAGAAGGAATATATATACATTATATTAAGCCAGGAAAATTAAGTGTACAACCCACAAAATAAAAGTTATCGAATGAAGGAAAAGACAATTTTAAAAGATGTGAATACTTCTTCTTCTTCCACTGTGAAATAGTCTAAATATTACCATGTTTTCAGGCTGCAATGTGGAGAATGCCTCCTACGGTCTGACAGTGTGCGCTGAGCGGACGGCCATCCAGAGAGCCGTGGTGGAAGGACACCGACAGTTCACAGCCATCGCTGTGACATGGTGAGACTCAGTATAATGACACTGACGACACATTAAGAGCTTCACATGGCACATATTCTTATGAATTCATCCTCTCCTTTGTGTAGTGACATCAAAGACCGTTTTGTTGGGCCGTGTGGAGCATGTCGACAGGTTCTTCTGGAGGTGAGACAATTCTTTTAAGACCAGTATAGACAATCATTATTCCGTGATCAGTATGTGATGCACTGCAAAGTCTTGACCTGCAAAAAAAAGGTTATTTCTGTTGATAATTGCACGTTAACCTTTATTGTAAGTGAAAACATTTGCCAGTGTAGTAACAATATTTCAACTTGTAACCCGCAGAAATGAGTGTCTCTTATCTTGAAAGAGGAATAATAAGGCAAGGCTGTACTAGAATTAAGAAGTTCATTTAGAAAATACTTGAAATAAGTTTATTTGCATTTGAAGCAATGCTTTCTTTTCACTTATGTTTATAAAATAAGTCTATTTTTGCTGTGTATATAAATCGGGAACACTCACTCTTCCCTGCCAGACACATCTCTGGAAATTGTAGCAAGTGGTGGCTGTGTGTAAATAAAGATCACTGTGTTTTATAAGCATGTCAGACACTGATAATAACCTAGCCTAATAAAATGTAATGACTTCCTTATAGAGTGTCTGCCTTGGCTCAGTAAATTAAATTGTCGTTTTGAGACAAGGTATTCTGTATGAATATGATTTTCTTGTCTTTTTCTAGCTATCATAATAAAACTTTATGAACTGAATTCAGTAATTTAAATAATAGTAACTCAATAACAATTTTTTTTTACCTTGGTTCTCTCTGTCTCATCTGAAATGATTGAAAATTAAAAACATGATTAAGGCAGCAAAACTAACTGTTAACTCCTTAGTCTTAAATGTAACTTGGTGAACCCTGCAGAGAGTCACTAATATAAATCCTGTCTTCAATGCTATCTGTACATTTCTCTCTTTCACCAGTTTGGATCAGACTGGACTGTGTACTTGACCAAGCCAGATGGATCTTACAAACAAACCAGCCTCAGTGAACTGTTACCTCTGGCTTTTTCCCCAGCACACCTGGCAAAGTAAAAATAAAGCCTCATGTGACATTGTATATAACTCTGTAAAGTTGATATCAAACTTCACATAAACAATAAAACTTCCCCCCTTAACATGTGTCTAATTATTATTATCATTATTATTATTGTTGTTTTTTTATATTATCATTATTTTTATTATTAAACAGAGACGAAAGACTTAAAAAAAAAAAAACACGTATAAATTATGTGGCAAACTGTGATAGCACGTGATAAACGTGGGCGGGTCCCAAAGCTGTTTCCGGAAACATGGAGGCTGTACTGAGTGATGTGGTAGCTCCTGAAGACCTTTTAGTAAGTTTTCACTTTATTAAACCTCTTCCTTTCATCAAACATACACATTAACCCAGAGAGAGACTCGCACAGAGGTCCTTATAGCAGCTGTCTAGTTGTTAAATGCTGAAACTTGAATGATATACGACGTGTCGAGGCGTACGTTGTCGCGTCACTTAGCTAGCTAATGCTAATGATCATGTTTATGATGACAAACTGGTCACGGTGTTTTTATTGTTTTCGCTAATACAATAATACACGACAAAAGCTAAAAACACGTTGTAAGGGAAAACATATTTTAAATGTAGTGTCGGCAAACTGCGTTCTTTCGGTTTTACTTGCTTCCTGTACACATGATGCAAGTTAAATGACACAGTAATCCAGCTCTGTGCTCGCTTCATGTTGGACGATGTTTGCTTTTGTTATGACAGAAATTTGAGAAGAAATACAACAGTGAGCTGGTGAAGGGAGCAGTCTCCAAAGAAACAAAGTTTGAATATGCTTGGTGTCTGATCAGGAGTAAATACTCGGAGGATATCAAGAAGGGAATTGCACTCTTGGAGGGTAACTTAAAGCATTATTTGTTCTTATTATTATAGTATTATTATCATTATTATTATTATTGTATTATTTTCACAACATATTTGAGAATTGAGGCTGATATTGATGATAGTGATGTTTTTCAAAGTTTAAAAAATCAAATATATTGGAGGACAATTATTCTTGATATAAACCTATAATATGTTTTGCAAACTCAGGATTGCTGTAACATATTAGCCTGTGTGTTTTCAGTTTTCATAGTTTGAATCAATATAATTTTTGTCTTGTAGAGCTTGTTCAAAAGGCATCAAAGGACGACTCCCGGGACTTCTTGTTTTACCTTGCAGTGGCCAACTACAGACTCAAAGTTAGTGTCATTCCTAGTTTCATGACAATTCATTGTTAAATATGTATAATTTTTATTAATTGAAACCATTTGTTGTCATGTGTATATTGAGCTTCACACATTTGTGTTAATTTGTAGACATTGGTTAACAAAAATGATTTTTTTTAAATGCAGCCCCCTTATATATTGTTACAAATCTTAGAGTACTTCCTTTTTCATCCCCTGTTCTTCCTCCAGGAATATGAAAAAGCCCTGAAGTACATCCGGACCCTTCTTAAGAATGAGCCAGGGAACAAGCAGGCTCTGGAGCTGGAGAAACTGATCGACAAGGCTTTAAAGAAAGGTAAAAGAGAGTAAAGCTCTCTCTGAATCTGTCTGAATTGTAATTTGATATTAGAATTTGTGTTATTTGATCTTCTTGTGGGGTGAGTAAATCTACATCCTAACGTTCACCTACTGTCATCTAGACGGCTTGGTTGGCATGGCGATCGTTGGGGGAATCGGTCTCGGCGTGGCCGGCTTAGCGGGACTCATCGGCCTGGCTGTGTCAAAGGGAGCTGCCAAATCCTAACCTGGACATGAGACGACGTGTCTTTGTTTTGCTGGACTGATACACTGACCTTTCCCCTGCAGAGAAAATTAAAGCTTGTGTTAAAAGCTTGTTAAAGTTTGTTTGAAGGATGTAACATTTTGGTTTGAAGTTGAGTATTTACTGAAGCTTAATAAAGGGTTTAGATAAAGCCAGTGATTAACCTGTTTTCATATTATAACAGGGGTGAAAGTCACTATACATTTGACATTACTCTGTCCCACACTATAGCATTGCACTTTCATATTACTTATGTAAATAAATTAGAATAGATAAGGTGCAGCTCAACTCTATGTAATTTATTAGTTAGTGCGCACCTCAGCCTAAAGTTCCTAAGTTGAAATTTACATTTTGTAAAAAAAAGAACAAAACTATCTTTGTCAAAGTGCAGTTGTGGTTCTGTGACTGTCATTTTCATTAGTTTGGACATAAAGAATTGTAAAGGAAAGTGTTACTGGTGCAGTAGGAAGTGAAGCCTGTAATGCCAAAAGGAACAGTGAGGTAACAGTAACTGCTACATTGCTGTTAGGAAACTGTAAGTCCAGCTGCTGCTGCTGTGAGGCCAGAGAACAGATGCATTGCGTTTATTTTGGACAAGAGGTTTCTTTTCATTTGTTCTGAATACAACTTAAAGATAATGGTGGCAATGCATTTAAATTAATACATTTTGTCATGTAATTTGCATTTTCAAACATATATCTGTGCTGCGTTTAATGACTTGTGTTTTCCATCTTGTTAAATAAACAGAATGATTTCAAACTGATAGAAGATCTCAGGAGATTATTGTTGAGCTGTGTAAGCAATGACAGCTACCCCAGTGATGGAGAACCAGACACACGTTGTTTGTTTTGTATCTAAGATAATAATTTGTAACTACTTATATTCTTCAAATACATGTAGCGCAGTGAAAATGCATTTTTTCCCCTCTTGGATTTCATAGAGTAGAAGTACAAAGTGGCATGAAAAGAAAACACTCAAATAAAAGTAACACAGATTAGTACTTAGTTACTTCCCACCACTGATCAAGAGTTAGCCTTTAAAATCTTTATCAATTAAAATGATAGTGTGTCGATTGTGGATTCTGTCTTTGTTTCTTGTCTTGTCAGGACCAGCCCACTTTTTCACAAAATACACTGTGATATGAATGATATTTATGTCCTGTGATAAAACACAGGGTGCAGCGGTAAACTGCATCATGTACTTTTAAAGCGTAATAAACTGCTTGTGAGCACAGGACATGATGTTAGGTAATTTCACATATAGTGAATGCCTTATCAACATTTGATATAAGTTGAACACAAGGCATCCTATAAACTAGACACTGATGTAGGAAGAAGGAGCTAAACGAGTACAAAACTATATCATCTGCATAAAAAGGATATAAGTTTGTCTTGTGTTTTTAACTGTTGTGAAAGAGCAGGAAACTAATTTTCCTGTCGTGTAAACCTGCACCTGATCCGTGTATCAGAGTCACTTTCCTAAGATTCTTTTATCGATGAAGCAAAGTTCAATATACAATCCCATTCTTATCACTGTCATTTATTGACTCTATTAAACGTACAGTGAAAGTTTGGTGGAAACTGTGGAGGAGAAGACATTATGAACATAATTGAAGCGTTCAGGTCTTTAGCAGGAAGACCGAGCCGTACACATTCGAACCAAAACGTGCTTGGCCTAGTTCACTCGCTGCCGATCATCCTCACATCTTGACCCCAGGGTAGATTTAAGTCGCCGGCGCCGTTTTTACGACAGGAAGACTTATTGAGGTTATCGGTTGTGTGTGGTGTTATCAGCCTAGTGGGCTGTTACTCATTAAGCCACCTGACGGGACCGAAACTCCACAGGGACATATCAGTGAAAACAATCATCTTCTTTGGTGTGAAAGAGGCGTTCGAGTGTGGGGGGGGGGGGGGACGCAAAGAGGAAACCAGACATGAGGGTGGGTAGAGGTCCCCGGAAAAAAATGGATCCAAAATCTAAAGGGAGGAGCAGCGTATAAACTTTAACTAATGTCAGAATTGTCGTCAGTTCAAAACACACTTAAACATCAATGATTCATCAAAGCCAGTGTAATTCAGATCAGCTCCACTGAGTTTCAGTTACAAGGGCCAATGTTCAGTGACTCTCCGCTTGTTCTAACACATGGCTGAAGGATATTAATGTGTAATCACCATGAAGAAAGAGAATACATCAGGAGACATGGTGCGTTGGTTAAGTTACACCCTGTAACATACATGTCATCAGACAGTAATTTAAAGTTATTGTATAATCCAATAGAACAACAGTTCATTGTCTGTCACCATACAGTGTATTACTGCAGGTAGTGACACTTTTACGTGAAGTTAATGTGCACATAAGATTTGATCACGGCTTTAACTACTTCCTGTCCTCCTATCGAACTTATCACACCTTGGATTTTATTTGCAGAGCATCTGGGCTTGAAGACATAGACAGGAAAACACTTTGCAATGTTTGTTCACTTGTTCTGGATTTTAGGACAGGAGGAAGGTAGGAAAGTAGGAAAAGCAACATTTGGTGGCCTTTGAGAGTGCAAATTAAAAACATCTTTTAAAGGGTCTCTGTGCTTTTGCAGGGTCAAAATTATTTCTTTCATCATGGTTGAATATACTGGATGTGTGTGACACTCGTTATCCTATGATCCCATGGAATCAGGTTTAAAATGGAGCCAAACCTTAGTATTGCACTGAACATATACAGTTGTTCGACCTGATGATGGCGCTGGGGCGGCTGAGGCTCGGGAGGTAGAGCAGGTCGTCCGATAATTAGAAGGTATATGAATGTGTATGTGTATGAATGTGTGTATGTGTAGTAAAGTACTGCAAAGCACGCTTGAGTACAGTCCATTTACATATAAGTACAGTCCATTTAAATGTGAGGGGAACACCACAGTTATTAGGATTAATCCTCTGGGGAACGTTAATGTCTGAACCAAATTTTGAGTCAATCCATCCAATAGATATTAAAGCTAAAAAGTGTGATGATATGAAGAGTGTCGTGTAGTGTCTACTGATTTTTGTTTCATCATCCTGCTTTTATTTGCTTTTTAAAACAGATATTCCAGTCAAAATGTCAAATTCTAGATTACATTTTAAATGTTTTCTTACAACAATCTTCAACACACACTTTCCACACCATGTGCATTTCATAAGTTGCACTGTAGTTGCAGAATAATAAAATCAACGTTTCCTGCTTTAATAAAGGTCTGGACCCCTGATTGGATCTAAATTAACCAAGTCCCCATCCCTTAAAACAGCATCTTCAATTAAAATTTTTAACAGTAATTGCTCATCTTCCTTTTGTAAATAAACCAGCACACACACACACACACACATTATTAATTGTGTCTGTCTCTTAAGTGCAGTCTCCCGTGTTGTCTCTCCTCATCACGTGCTCATCCCACCTCCTTTTAATGAGTTTTTTTTCCTGGAAAGCACATGAAAAAGTTACGGGCTTCTTTCCAGGTATCACTTTTTTTTTCTTTTTTTTTTTTAAATCACATAAAGTTTTGTTTTGACAGACAAAGCCAACATGACATTTGCATCTAACTACACAAACTCACAAGCAACCAGCGCTCGGCCAAGTGGGCTGTAAAAATGAGCTCTGCAAACAGCTCAGCCATAAAATGAGACATTTATGGTGGGACAAAACCTGGTTTTCAGAACACCTCCGATGGAGATGTGACAGATGAGGCAGGACAGTAAGTTTAGACGTAACTGAGGTTTGAATTTCTGCCTTTGTTTTAATAAACAGATGGAAAAAAGGAAGGTTAAATAATTTTGATCACATATTCTATCAGTATTTGCGAACAGGATTGACTTTCTCTCAGCGCTGCAATAGCAGAAATAAGACTGAAGTCTCAGAAGCATCCATCCTGTAGGATGTATTTCAATTAAATGTATTTCTCTGAGAATAGATTCATTTAGAAGATGGACTTTGAGGTTTCAAGAAAAAAATCCAACAACAAATAGTTAAAAAAAAGTTAGAAAAAAAAGGGAAACTTGTTTCAAACAGAAACAAGAACATGTGAAACCACTCACCTGTTAATATCACAAATGAATATATTATAATCTTTAATCTTAATCTAAGAAACACAAAATTTACTGGATCAAAAATCACCCTGTGTACTTTCTGTTTTGCCTTTGAAAAACACACATCTAACTACATTTTAAATCCTTTTGCAACAAGATAAGAACTGTGTGAATGAGATAAAGCCTTTTGGTAATACTTCATGTGCTCCTCTTTGTTCTTTTCCATGATGACATTCACTGTAATCTCTTTATTTCATCATTGATCGTTGCACAGCATCAGCAGACTCTTATTACCTTATTAGCATGTTTCCTCATGCATCTCTCTGTTCAGGAAAAACACACCAAAATATACAACAGAAGAAGAATGGATCACTATTGTATTGAGTATTTGCTGTCGCCTCTTTTCTCAATGTTAACTATAGATTATAATAGTTGATTAAATCCTACAATTTTTGCTGTGTCACTGCCATTGATTTTAAGTTATCAGTCTTTCTTTTGCAAACACTTGCCCCTCTCACTTCCTTACAGGAAACCGATGAACGTCTCGGTTCAGGTTTGTTTATTGTTGCTGAACCGTGTGTCTATTTCTGGAAGCTCATTCTTGACCTTTACACAAATGAGTTTGCTGGTCGTCCAATCCCCTCGTCTCCACACACTCGGCAGCTTTTGTTTGAAATGCAGGTTGAGACTTAGCTCGCTATTATCAGTGCGGTGAACTCGGTGTGCTCACGGTGCCCTGGGTTCGGCAACACTGACCCAGCTGTTATCAGGAGGATTATTAATGAAGACACACAAACACGGAAGCAGGAGAGAGCGGGTAACTTCAGACCTTATTTGTCTGTTGCTCTGACTTTTGTCCTTTAAATTAAACCAGTTAGCAGGTGACATCTCTTCAAATGTTATAAAGTGCTGGGCGTGACGCTGGGTTATTGTGACCTTGTGTCTTCTGGCCTTGAGATATTCAAACCAAAACAATAAAACTAACAATTTGCGGTTGGTTATATTTGAAAATAAATAAATAAATAAATAAAAAGTAGGTACTGTGTTTAATGTCACTTCAGTGTGTAACTTTGCATATAAATCAAAACAAATATTGACATATTTCAGAAAGCTCTATCACACAAAACTTTTCATAAACTGATAATAACATTTGATTTTTTAAGATTTGATCATAAACCAGATCAAATGTGACAAAAAAAAACCAAAATGTGGATGAATACGTCTTATAAACATTCCTGAAAGCGTAAACAGTCTAGTGTCATTAAGAGCGACAGATGACCATTGGACCCTGAGTGAACTGATAAACACCTGCTCAGTTTCAGGGGTGTAAAATGCAAAAGAAAAAAGAAAAAAAAAAAGTGTGAGAGGAGAGAGGGGAGGAGAGAAAGCAAGTCATTTAATGATTATATATATCTGCTGAGCTGAACACATCTCACAGTGGCAGAACAGACACCACACACTCACACACTCTCTCTCTCTCTCTCTCTCTCTCTCTCTCACACACACACACACACACACACACACACACATACACACACTCAACAAAATCAGAGGTTCTGACTTTTATAACAAGTTGTGTTGAATCATAAGATTTGAGATCTGGATATACTTCTGTTCGACTGCGGCACCAAGGAGGGGGAGGAATGGATCCGATTGTGGAAGTAGTGGCCTTAGTTATGGGGTTCATCGGATGGGTGATGGTTGGGGTCACCCTGCCCAACCGTTACTGGAGGACCTCCACCGTCGACGGGAACGTCATCACCACCTCCACCATTTATGAAAACTTGTGGATGTCATGTGCGACGGATTCGACCGGGGTTCATAACTGCAGGGAGTTCCCTTCACTGCTCGCTTTGAGTGGTATGTTGACAGGAAGGAGAAAAAAAAATGGAATAAATCATTTTTATTGTACAATTTAACATTTTTTTTAAAGTGATGATCCACAAAAAAATCAATCATAGATCATTTTAACTTGGAAAAAAAATGAAAACATTAGAGAAAAAATCTCATGAGAAGCATCTGTTAAAGATTTTTTTAAAAAGATGATGAATTCAGCGGCTGCTTGTTTATTTCCAAACCATCTCCAGGTTACATCCAGGCGTCTCGTGCCTTGATGATCACTTCCATAGTGTTGGGCACCTTTGGACTGGTGGCGGCCATGATAGGACTACAGTGTTCGAAGGCAGGGGGGGAGAACTATGTCCTCAAAGGGAGGATTGCTGGCACCGCTGGAGTCTTTTTCATGCTTCAAGGTAACAAAAAGATGCACCCAAAAATGATAATACACTACCTCGTAAATACAGTGGATAAAGGAAGTTCAATCCTCCATAGATTTCCCCTTGGTTTGCTTCCTTCAGACTCGTGTAAAAGTATCTGGCAACTTCTTCAATGGTTTCTCAATGATTAAAGAATATTTGTGGGATCTTTTTTCTATGAAAAGGTGTGTGCACAATGGTCGCAGTGTCCTGGTACGCCTTCAACATCACTCAGGAATTCTTCGACCCTTTCTACCCCGGGATAAGGTAAGACAGAGGAAGGTGGAGAAGAGGGGATGGGATGACTTTTAAGGCCTAACGTGAAGCTCACCCGAGTGTCGGCTGACTGCGCTCCACTGTGTGTCGCAGGTATGAAATTGGAGAAGGGCTTTACATCGGCTGGTGCTCCGCTGTGCTCGCCATCGCAGGAGGAGCCTGTCTCACCTGCTCCTGCAGATTTGGCACAGAGGAAAAATAGTAAGTTCAGTTCAAACAGTTTGATCCCTCTTTGTCTCTGTCTGCCAAATAATAACACAACATGACGTCACCTTTGTACGGAGCTGAGAAGAATCTGCCAAACACTTTTGTTTTAAATTGATTTTTTTGTTGACAGTTGATAATTCAAACTGACAATTAACAGATGTTTTTTATTAATTGCAATTATCTGTAACTTAACGCATTGCTTTCTAACCACTTGCAAGCTCCTCCATACACAACAGGTAAAAAGTGACAGTCTCTTTTGAATGTAGTGGAGTGAAAAATAAATTGCCTAAATTAATTGTGACATGTGCCAAATCTAATCTACTTTACAAGCATGTGGTGAATTCCTGTGATGAATGTTTTCCTGTTGAGGAGAAACTGAGAGAACCTTGAAAACTGTCCATCCATCCAAACACACTGTGTTTATGACAATGATAAAATTGTAATAAAGTGCGATACCAAAAGGGTTGGGTGATTAGAATATAAATCAGAGGCATGTGAGGGATTAGTCATGACTTCATCAACCAATTAGTTACCTGGTTACCTGTGTCGTGCCATTTTAAACAGCTGTACCAATCACAGACTTCCATGATTATAAATAAAATACAGGGACCTGGTGGTGGAAGGGTTTGGAGTGAGATAAAAGCTGAGTTTGGTCTGAGAGGCAGCGTTTGGGTCAGAAACGAAGCCCGAAGTGTCAGGAAGGTTAAAGCCACATATTTAAGATTTGAAAATGTCTCCGTTTGGCGCCCCCCAGTGGTCTAATAAAAGAGATGCTGCTGCAAATACACAGTGCTGAGACAAATAGGCTGAACACAACATCTAGACTGCACCAATTCTCACAGGAAGTCAACATTAGATAAACTTGCTTAAAACAGAACATAACCTTCTCGTAATTTTAGTAGTTTTCTAGAATGACACTAGGAAAAGCATGTGTTGAAGCAAGTGTAAATAACACAGTTAATGGTGTTTGAATGCCATATAGCAGCTTCATTATTAGGGTCTTGGTATTGTGCATGCTGACTCTGGGACACTTGAATGTAAATAAGCCATTGTTAAAGTTAGGTGACACCTGTGCTTTTGCTCCTACGACAAGTCAAAATGTCTGCTGTGAAAAAGCCTGATCAAACGCTTTCAAGATGGTTGATTTGTGGACAAACCACATGGACAAATTAGTTTAACCAACCTTTTTTTCTTTTCTTTTTTTTTTTTTGCAGCCCTTTGGCTTATCAAACCAGGGGGACTGTTTACTCTGGACCTGCTCCGACCAGAAGCGTGGCTGCCAGCACTTACGGCCGAAATGCATATGTTTGAGCAGGACATGAAAACAGAACTATGACGATCAAATCCCTTTCAGATATCCAGGGGTAAACTTTTTCATCACCTCAGTTTTTGTTGATGCAACCTAACACGTCCTAGTGCTCAGTTTTCACACCTCAGATGAAGTTTTTTTTTTGTCCATGACTGTGTGTCCATCAAGTGATGGAAGTCACACAGCACCACTGAACTGTATATAACCACATTATCAATTGTGTTTTTTGAAAAATAATAATAATAAAAAATGATAGCATTGAAATGAAATGATAGCATTGATGTTATAAGAGTTGTACAAAGCTGAGCTACTTATCACTGTTTCAATGCACAACCATGCTAAATGCGTGCAGTGATTTTATTTATATTCGTGAGATGACGTTAGCACAAATACATTTACACACAGTCACTTATTTTGAAGGAAATTCTGTAATTTGATGATCTGCATACACACTTTTAGACACTTGTAAGGGGAAGGTCAAAATTGGAATAATCCAGATGTTTGTGTTTGTTGTTTTGTACAGTTTTATAGACAGTACCTTTGTAAGAGGGTGGAGGAGAAAGTTATCTTTGTTTTGATGGTATTTTGTTTGTTTGTTTGTTTGTTTTTTATGATTGCACACAATAAAATGTGTTATTCTAAACATTTCCATTTTACCTTTTATTTTTAAAGGTGTTTCTTTTAACAATACGATCAATAATAGTGTCAGATAAACAATCTTAATGCTGCAATATTTGCATCTTTACTACTTTTGTGTGCATGTGTGCAGGTAACACCTCTTTAATTCAGACAACTCACACAATGAACATTAATCATTAAAAAACATCCTGTGTTTAAAATGTAATTATCGATATCAGTATTGGTATTGGTGATCCTGGCCCTGATATCAGACCAAAACGACTTTGTGGTATTACCCACTCCTAATTTGGACTGTAATATGGAGGAATAAAAATTCACTGAAAAAACAAATAGTTAAATTAATTAAAAAAAAAAAAAATTTGATTGTGCTTTTTAAAAACATAAAAACAACATCATAAAGTCATAAAGTGTATCATAATTATAACTTAAATGGTAGACTGTGACCCCACTTAAATAGTAAACTTAATTTTGTCAATTTTGCCCAGTGGTTCTGAGCTGTTATTTCACACTAATAATCATATAAAGGTGGATATTGTTAACCAAGTTATTCATGATGTAAAGTTAACGCTTTCGGCAGGTTTACTCACTGCTTTTAGCATAACTGTAACTACTAAAGACCACTTGTGGTGACGCTATTTGTCAGCCTGCCTGGCCCATGCAGAGATTTCATCTGGGGAGTGCCATCAGAGTTAAAATAGCGTCTCCAATGAGAGAAGCCCACGTCTCTGGACGAACACGGATGTGCGGCGTGTTGACCAACCACCGTAATGTAGGGCAGAAAGGGAGGGGACGAATAATGGTTTCGTTTACAAAGTGTCCGGGTCGCCAGTTGTTCAGCTTCTCCATCGTTTTGTTACGTGAATGTGTTTGAAGTTCACGTAAAGCCCAGTTATTCCTGTTTTAGGAAGAAAGGCGCTGGTAAACGGTTCGTTTTTTTTAGGAGAGGGGGAACCTTTCAGTGGCGTATCTCATTTCCACACGGAATACTGACACACCGGGATCGTAAATACAGCGTCGTTGCTGCCCGTTTGGTCTGGCAGAGAGAAAAGATGAGGATTTAATAACGAATAATCATTGTTTCAATGAAACGAGTAGGTATTTTCACTAGACGTGGAAGCAGAGCCGGTGTCAGGGAGTGAACAGGTTCAGTAATGGAGTCGTGTCGGCGGACCGGACTCAGCGGGGTCCTGTGCTCGCTGTCACTGTTGTGTGTCATCCTGGACATCCAGCTGGACGGTAAGACTGGCTTTACACCAAAAACAAGTTGTTTAAACCCTCCTCAAACACAAGTACAGGTGTGTCCAGAGGTTTCCAGCTTATTTGTTGTTTTTAGCTGTTGAAAGTTTCCCACACTGTGACGGAATGTTAGCTTACCTAGGTTACATTATGGCCCGCCTCTCCAAAATAAAAGTCACCTGCTGCCTCATCGTTGTTCTAGTATAAAAAATAATTGAGGAATTGAAAGCTAAATGTAACTGTATTAGTTATGCAAATAGTTGAGTACAGTGCGTGTGAAGTGACGGAGGCGTAACCAAGAACCACATTTTTTGCTTTGGGCCACATCCTCCTTTCCTGTCATCCGTTGTCATTGTCACCTGTATTTCAAATTTAAAGCATCAAACTTGTTTTTACATTAAACAGAAATGAAATATAATATGAAGTATTTGAAAAATTAAACCATTACGCAATTAAATAGAAAACATTTGAATTACTGAGTTATCTGTTGATTGTTTATCAGATTTAATGATTAATAATTTTGGGTGACAAATATCAGAAAATAGGGAAAATTACTCCTCATAATTTCCCAGATAACATCTTCAAATTACTTGTTTAATCCATTCATCCCTACAATACTCAAAGATGACAAATTTATATCATGGCATAGTATGATTTATTGTTTCTCAATCCTATGAAATAAGATATAAATGCACTTATTTGTCTCACTCACAAATTGGCAGAATTGGTTGTAAAGGTTAAAAATGTGTAGGAGTTTAAAATTTACATGTAAATCAAATATTGGTCGAAATACTTTTGAGTTACTGACTTGGAATATGTGAAAACGGAATTACAGTTTTGCAGGTGCAACTCACCTGTTTGTGTGTTCTTATCACAACTTTGTAATTCTGGTGATGCCAGACCGCAATGTGAAAAGAAGTTTAAATCTAAAAAAGACAGACAGACAGACAGACAGACAGACAGACTCTTTGTCAGTGATGTATTTCCAGCGGGGCTCAAGTACAGTTTTATGTTACAGGTGTCTTAGGGGCAACTCATGTCGAGATCGAGCACCACTTGGAGATGGGCCGCAAACTTTTGGCAGCCGGTCAGCTGGCTGAAGCCTTGTCCCACTACCACTCTGCTGTGGGTAAGGTTACACACACACAGACAGACATGCAGACAAGAACACATTTATATTCTCACCACTGGCTGACATTTTCAGTCCGTATCTTGGCTCTAATAATGCCTGTCTCTTCCCATACTTGTTGCTCTTTGGTACTTTGACAAAATAGATATTTAAAGTGTTTTCTACATTTTGCAGAGGGAGACTCTAAGAATTACCTGACCTACTACAAGCGAGCTGCGGTGTTCCTGGCTATGGGAAAATCCAAATCTGCCCTGCCAGACCTGACCAGAGCCATTCAGCTCAAGCCTGACTTTTTGGCTGTAAGCTCACCTGTTAACTCACCACGTGAAAGATTATACAATCTTAATGATATTGTTGATCATTTCCTTCTTTTGTGTCCATGTGCCTGTCATATTTCTCTTTCACACCTCCTTTTCTTGTCATTCCATCTCTTCCTGTTCCTCCATTTTCAGGCCAGGTTGCAGAGAGGCAACATCCTGTTAAAGCAGGGCAACACACAGGAGGCCAAAGACGACTTTAACGCAGTGGTAAGTTCATTGATATGTTACTACTTTTGCCATCCTAAATCATTGCTAGTGTTTTGCCAGATTGATACGTGTTGTATCTACCTGTTTATTTTGTTTTTTTGTTGTTTTTTTTTTATTTGCAGCTGCAGCGATCTCCAGACCACGAAGAGGCCCAGGACCAGCTGATTAAGGCAAACGAGCTGGAGGAGCTGCAGGAGGAGGCCCATGCTGCATACCACCAAGGGGACTACAGCGCCACCATCACTGTGCTGGAGAGAGTTATAGAGGTGCGTGTGACAGCACTGTCGTGGGGTCTACAGACAGGGTCAGGGAGCGGAGGTTGGCTCATTGCAGTAACGTAACGTTATCTTTATAAAAGTCGTCATCTTCCTTCAGATCTCTCCCTGGGATCCTGAGTCACGGGAGCTTCGTGCAGATTGTTACATCCGAATGGGCGATCCGCAGAAAGCCATCCAGGACCTGACGCCAACGACGCGGCTACGCAACGACAACCGCGCTGCCTTCCTGAAGCTCAGCCTGCTGCACTACAGGCTCGGAGAACACCACGACTCACTCAAGTGAGCTTTGTTACTGGAGTGAACACAAACGGAGTCATGCAAAATAGCTAATTTTCATCTTCAGAGCATTCTCGGTGCTCAGCATTTGTTTTTAAGTTGAAGTAAACTTGAGCACCCTCCACTCCACTCACCCATCTATCCATCCTTCTCTCTGCAGTCACATCCGAGAGTGTCTGAAGCTCGACCAGGATGACAAGGAGTGTTTCAGCCACTACAAGCAGGTGAAAAAGCTCAGCAAGCAGCTGGACTCAGCAGAAGGATACATTCAGGAGGATAGGTCAGTACTCTTGTAGGATTGATGCACTTTTCCCTCCTAAATCCTGATCGTCTTAGGACGTCTGACATTTATTTACCGCGTGTGCTTTAAATTATTGTTTGCATCAGAAACAGGAAACTTTGTCCGCCACTTTGAATTCTTGAGATAAAAGTTTGCAGATGCTTGTGCTTGTGGTTTGATGAGTCAAAGCACATACTGTAATGTATTAAACATTAAAATCTTATTCCTGATCTGCATGTCACATGTCATTTTTGCTCTCTGTCTATCTTTTTTTTTTTTTGTTGCTTCCTGACACTCTGAAAAACACTTATATAAAACTAAGGGAGTAAGTTAAATTGATTGTTCTCTGCCTGCAATTAGGTGTCAGGAGGCCATCGATAAGTATGAATCTGTGATGAAAACTGAGCCCAATGTGGAATACTACACCAACCTGGCCAAAGAGAGGATCTGCTTCTGCCTCGTCAAGGTGAGAGAGAGAATGAGAACCTTTCATTTAGAGCTGCGGGTGAATTTCTAGCCAAGTTTTTTAGCTTTTTAGTTGTTCAACATCTCTTGCTTCTTGCCAACTCTAGATTAAATTGGCGATGGAGGCGATAGACGCGTGCTCAGAGGCCCATCAGAGAACCCCCCGCAACGCCAACGTCCTCCGAGACCGAGCGGAGGCTTACATCCTCAACCAGGACTATGAGAAAGGTAATAGGACTCGCCGGTCTCAACGACAACAAACTGCAGAAAACTGGTTTATATTTTCTTAAAGTATCTTAGCTGAAGTCATAAGGCCAGGTCATAAAGACCGGTTCAACTGGAAGCAGACTAGTCATAATGCATACCTTGCATTTAAGGATTATGCCTGGATAAACAAAGATCTTGCATCTGCCAGCACAAACAAAAACAGTTGTGTCCATGGTAGCAGGTGCTCCATGGTTTAAAATAACAGACTGTAGTTTTTTATGATCATCAAAACAGAATCAGGTAAAACTTTTTAGTTATTGTCAGAGGGATGTTAGTTACATAAGGGATGACTGTCTTGCTAGTCTTTAATTTGGAAATTAATTGTCTTACGAAAAGAAAACGGATCTGATGAACGTCTTTTCATATCTGTTTTGCTTCAGCGGTGGAGGACTACCAGGAGGCGAGAGAGTTTGACAGCGACAGCAACGATATCAGAGAAGGACTGGAACGAGCGCAGAAACTGCTCAAAATCTCTCGCAAGAGAGATTACTATAAGATCCTCGGCGTCAACAGGTAACCGCCGAGTCTATTACAAACAGCGTTTACTTCCTCTTGACTGACATCAAACTGCAGATGCAGCCGCAGTAGATCACTTCATAGAGCAAATCACACCAACAAACTCTTCTCTTCAGGAACGCCAACAAGCAGGAGATCATCAAGGCGTACAGGAAGCTGGCACAGCAGTGGCATCCCGACAACTTCCAGTCCGAGTCAGAGAAGAAGGAAGCGGAAAAGAAATTCATCGACATCGCATCAGCTAAAGAGGTCCTAACCGACCCAGGTCAGGAGCTAAAAGGGTTACATATATATATATCTGACAGCTACTACATTTTAGTTTTAGGAATCTGATCTCTTTTTAAAAAGAAGAACTCATTCTCAGTGACATCCCTTGACATAGCAGAATTACCAAAAGGCTCTAGGGAATTATAAGAAAATGGAAAGTGGTAAAACCTTCTTCAATTTCTTATAGTTCCACTTGGTTCAGTGACATGATTCCAGCACATTTCTCTCAGGATATCTCAGAACCATTTGATTTTTGACAGAATCCGATATATGCATCACGTTAAGTAATAATTAAGTTTTCATTGTCTTAAACTTGTCCCTCCAATCATCCCATTGTTTCACCAGAAATGAGGCAGAAGTTTGACGCAGGTGAGGATCCCCTGGACCCGGAAAACCAGCAGGGTGGAGGTGGAGGACAACAAGGTTGGCCTTTTCACTTCAACCCCTTTGAGTCTGGGGGCAGCTTCCACTTCAAGTTCCAGTACAACTAAAGTAGGCGGACTTTACGAACAGGGGGGTTGGGGACATTTGTTGGACGGATGGGACATTGGGGGAATATCTATGGCGGATTTGTGGAGACGTCTTCCCCCAGAACTTGTGCTTCAACTTGGACACAGTTTTTTTTTTTTTTTTTTTTTGGGCTACTTGAACCTTTGAGTGGAGGCTTGAGCTTTTTAGTGAAAAAAACAGGACTTCTTACCACAGAAACTGAGGACCCAGCTGTGGCTACTGTTGAACTAACTCGTTGCTCTGGTTGAAGAAAATGAAGTCTGGTGTCAATATTTCAAATTCTTAGGAAAGGTGATGGTTGAAAGCAGTCATTACTGGACTTCTTTCTTTTTGGTATGTCTGCTCTTATTACTCATTTCTTTCTTTGTGCCATTTTTTTGAAACTTTACCAAGAGACTTGATTTTTTTAAACGCAGTCGCTCCTGCTTGGACATCACATAAAAGGCTGTGGGGTTGCTGGTTTTCTGCTTGCAGTATTCTTTAAAGGAAATACATGCTTACTGATCTCAGTCTATATTTTTGACCATGTCAAAGCATCTCTACAGTAGAGAACCAAAACTTTTATATTTAATGACATCAAGAGACACATGTTGTTGTGCTTCTACATTAATGGTAAGTAGGTGAGACTTTAGCACTATTACATGAAACTTGTGGGTGTAAAAGTTTTGAAATCCTATGGATCTTAAATCAGAGTAGTCGCTCTGTGGTCGGTTGTTTTTGATTTTGCTTTAAATGGCCGTTGGTTTTGTACAGTGATCTAATTGGAATAATGTGTGAATTCTGCATTTGGGTGGAAATATTATGTTTTCAACAAGCTATATCTCCAAGGAACATTATGGATGTAACCAAATTTGAAGAGTTGGTTAAAACGCAAAAAAATAATAACTGAAAAAACTTTGACTATTTATTGCACAAAGGTGTAGCAACTGATGACTGAGTCAAGAACTGTAGTATTTCTCTCTTTTCACTCATTTCAAAGCATGTCTTTGAAAACTTGCACTTTTAATCTTTCGTTTGAAAAACCTCTCCACATGGTCTCCACTCCTGAATTGTTACTGCAGGCTTTTAAAAAGCCTTTCAAAGACTCTTTACAAACCAAGTGTGTCTTCAGTGGCTATCTGATCACCTCATATATATAAAAAGGTCTAACAGAGGAAAAAGTGCACATGTCGAATGTTCTACTTGTAGCTTGAAAACCTGAGGCAGACTGTATGTAATTCATAAACGGTGTGTTGGGATAATATTTGTCCATCAGGTCGCACTGAGGCACAAACTGAAAACCGAACCATTAAGTTGAATATGTAAAATGCAACTTTGCAAATGAGCCTCATTTTTTTTCTACCATGCAAGACACACAACAGTTTAACCACAAGCTAAGAAAACATTCTTTGGAAGTTTTGATTTTTTTTTTTTTTTTTTGTGAGCACAAATTAAGTTATTTTGTCAATAATAGCTTAAGGAAAATGACTGTAACTGCTTTGACTCCTATCTACTGCTCGACTGTGTGAACCAATGTGACAGGCTCTTTGTATTTAAATCAGCTGAGTGGGACTGTTGTTGTTTCTGGGTTTTCTTTTCAGGGTTTTCTGTTTTTAGTGGCATCAATTTGTCTGTTGCCAAACTGAATCAGCTGACATGCTCAAGTGTATTAAAAATATTGAAACAATCCAATTTGTGCTAATACCTTGATGATTTGTGAAGCATAATAATATAGGGCAGCCGGGACAACGACACAATGCCTCAAATACAGCCATTTATTTTAAAACATGTCGTAACAAAGACTTTTACCATACACGGCACTGAAACACCATTTCCACACACATCCAGGTAGCTGCTGTTTGCCCACAACTTGTCACACACAAACGCTGTGCTGTACAGCTGTCACTGCGAATGGACGCTCCTTCAAGCATGGAGGGACCTGGTTAAACCCAGAATACTGGCACAGGGGTTGTGTGTCTGTAGACGCAGAGCAACCGGTTAAAAATCCTCCAGCCAAGATGTCCGATGTCCTCTGGGCTCAGCTGCAGCCTCAACATCTGGCTCGATGAGAGTCAGTCACATGAATGAGCTGAGAGTCGTCCAGACAGGCAGGGCTTCGTCAGTGGTTCGCTCCAAATCCTTGTGTGTCATCCAGACTGTCTGCCTCCACCTCGATGGATACCACGTGGTGACCGGGGATCATGGCCAGGCCCAGGACTCTGGGTTCCCCCTGGGAGAACGTGTCTGATTACAAAATAAGATAAAAAAGACAATCCAGATAAGACGACAAGTATTCAAATCTTATGATTTTGGGTTAACAGTGGGTCTATAAATTATATTTTTAAAAAATCAGACTGTTCTCAAGGTCATTTGTCTGCAATTCCTGTTGTTTCTGATAAGTTTATATTTAGCTTTAATGAAGGCTCTATAAGTAACATACTTTTAATATGGGGTGGCATTAAAAAAGACATTTTCAAAGCACTATTGAAGCTACAATACTTCATTTGTTTCCTTGGATGGCTGGAAGGATGAGAGGAAAAAAACTGTGGACATAGTTGCAAAGGAAATGAGGAAGGGAAGGAAAAGATAAAGCAAGACGCTCATGGTCGGTCCTTGCTTTCTTTGCTGCATTAGTATTTTCTGCCATGTAGGCTGACCTACATGTTTGTCACAATGTTAAATGTCACATTGTTAGGTTGATGATGACACACTGGTGTCAGAGCTCGGTGTTTTTGCAGCTTAGCAACCTGTGGATTTGAGGAATTCCTGAGCCGAGCCGAGGATGACGTTGCAGTCCCGGTCTGTGCAGAGGAACAGCCCCACCAGAGTCCGTCCGTCCGTCATGCGGATCCTCATGTTCTTGTTCAGGAGCCCCTCCAGTTTCTGCCTGGCCTGGGAGGATGAGGACACTTCAGGCTGCTCCTGGGACAGAAAGGTGACAGACTAAAATAAAAGTGGACATCATTCTGGAACAATTACTCGCTTGAGTTATTAGCTCATTGACAACACTACATGTAATTTAAGCTGCCAATTTGTGTTGTTTTCATCCATCATGTCAGAATAGCAGTACATTTGAATAGCTGAGTTGCTCACGGTTTTCTGTTTTATATCCCGATAGATTCAATACAATGGGTATTTTACTTCTGGCCAGACCCATTGAGCAATATTTAAACATTTCTTTAGGCTCTGATAATATTGAAAAATAGATTTTTGTTGATGATATGCCACAGAGTCCAGGACACATCTGGGTTTGCTGCAAAGCTAGCGTTAATCAAACTTGTTTCATTATTAAATACGCTCAGGAGACTGTGTTGTTAATGAAGATACATAGATATCTAAACACTAAGGGTATTTATGCAAATATTATTTGGTATATCTTGGTTAACGCTGTGTAATAGGGGTTTAATAGTTTTATAAGCTAATGCGTTAGCCACTGGCTAACGTTTAGTTACAACCTTAGCTTTGATAATGATGACATACTATTAAAGTAAAACGTTTTTCTTTGTTACGACACGTTAAACAGTGTGAATAAATATGTAAAATACTAACATATTTATTTAAACAAATACATACATGACTCGAAGGACCATTTTCCTCAATCATTGTCGCCATACCCCTTCTTCCTTCCTACGTTTGCTCACGGAGGGATTTTTCTGACGGACCAGCTAAACCGGAAACCCAGTTTCCAGTTGTGTTTTTTTATTTAAAGGGAACGACAAGCTGATATAACGTTCAGGTTTAGGATGAAATTTTAAAAAATTTAGAAAACCACCTATTCGGCAGCATATTACAGATGAAAGAGGAAGAAACAAACAACGGACAGGGACACTATTAAATGTAGGAATTTATTGCCAAGGCTGGTACATTCACATTTAGCACTTTAGCAAATCTTTCTGAGAACTTTTACCTACATACAGATATCTTATCAAAAATATCATCATGTGAACCTAATGTTAAATGTATTATTTCTTTAACTTCTTAAAATATTCTCTAAACTAGACTATCTAACTTTTGCTAAACAGCGGCCGCAGTTGGTAAAAACGTGATATCGGCGCATTGAATTTCCCTTCATTTCCAGAGATTCACCTGAGTCATTTCCTTTAAAGGCATTAACACAGATTGTTTTATTTTTATGTTAAAATCCGTTCAAAAGTTGTTTTTTTTACGCATCAGGACTTCACTTCACAGCATCAACACACATAAACTCTCCAGAAAAAGCTGTAGTTTATCACCATTGCTCCATATCTTGAGGACTTATGTTTGTGTGGCGTGTCCACTGTCTGTTATGGGTGTCAAACACAATCATTTTTATCCAGCATTGACTAACAAAGCCAATGGTCATACCAGACCACCAAAAACCTGACTATGCATTTCATTTCTTATCAATCTTTTTAAGAGATATTTGATATTTTGATGTTTGTTCATAGACTTTACCAGCTGTTATTATGTGGAGCCTTTATTCTGTGTGACTAAATGAGGCGTTTCTTGGTTTAGTATTTTAAAAACTTAAATATAGTTCTTTTGTTTCTCCCACTGCTAGAAGAAACTAAAATGTTAGGCAGCCACTCAGACCATGATTTGTGTGTGTCATTCCTGAGAAAGACAAGAAAAAAAAAAAGTAATAAAAATCAGTCAACAATCATTTTTTAGCTACAGTCCTGATTAACCCATGCGTTCTTTGCGTCTTCTTTCCTCAGGCTCAACATGACCCTCGGATCTTCAAAGGAGGTTTTGTCCATACCTGCCCCCTTCCAACTGACTGTGACGATGAACTGGGCCAGTGACGTTGGCAATGGATGAATGGTGAACGGTGGTACTGCTTTGGATACAAATTGACGGCTTGAAATCCCAGGGGCTACAGCTGAAGGTGAATAACATTCAGTACAGTATATGTCAGGGGTATTTATGTATCTATACCTAGAGCTACCTGTGTGTGAACAGATGACCTAAAACTATTTTTTACAGTAAGGACAGAACCTAAAGGATGGCTGTAAATGACCTCAGGCTTACTGTCACTTTCACTGAATATGAGAACCTCTTTGCATTTGTAATTCTATATATATATATGGATGGATTTTGTTGGCAGTAAGTAAAGTTTGAGGAGGGTTTTGTGCAGCAAATGAAGCACTTCAGAAGGTGCAAGTCTGAAAGGACAAAAGCCCCATAATTGGATAATTAACTGAGTCATGTAAGAGTAAATACAGGAATATGTCATACTTTCCCTTCCTTCAAACACTTTGTGAAGATGTATTAAGCCAACTTTCTTCCCCATAGCCCCCACACGCTTATTTAAGCTCTCTGGGTTGCCTCAGTTCAGACAGCTCAGCTCTGAATGAAGCACAGGAGCTGCTGAGTTTCTCTGTGTCACACTGCATAAAATCTGGGTTAGCTCGAGCGCAGTACCCAAGGGAGGCGCATTTCCTTCTCATCCTCGACATGTCTCCCCACCAAACGGACACGAGGGGGGTTGGAGGGGGTGGGGGTGGGGGGGTCACAGCAACAGCACAGTAGTGCAGTGTGTCAGGGCCAGCAGCATTTGAGAGTCCTGGATAGTTTCATCCATTTTTTTCTTTCTCAAACACATAGTGAGACACATGCATAGTCATGGCTACAAATACCTCACACACACTCCGGGTGAGGGCTTATAAACTTCACCACAGACACACACACACACACACACACACACACAGAAATGCACACAGAAACACACACACACACACACACACACACACACACACACACACACACAATGCATCCATCTCGCCAGCCACCCAATCTGGCAACAACAGACACCTCAGTGGCCAGAGGCTTAGTGGGGTGGGAGGGGCGGCTCCAGTCACACACTCAGATGCACTTTCACTGCACAGATACACACNTCAAACACTTTGTGAAGATGTATTAAGCCAACTTTCTTCCCCATAGCCCCCACACGCTTATTTAAGCTCTCTGGGTTGCCTCAGTTCAGACAGCTCAGCTCTGAATGAAGCACAGGAGCTGCTGAGTTTCTCTGTGTCACACTGCATAAAATCTGGGTTAGCTCGAGCGCAGTACCCAAGGGAGGCGCATTTCCTTCTCATCCTCGACATGTCTCCCCACCAAACGGACACGAGGGGGGTTGGAGGGGGTGGGGGTGGGGGGGTCACAGCAACAGCACAGTAGTGCAGTGTGTCAGGGCCAGCAGCATTTGAGAGTCCTGGATAGTTTCATCCATTTTTTTCTTTCTCAAACACATAGTGAGACACATGCATAGTCATGGCTACAAATACCTCACACACACTCCGGGTGAGGGCTTATAAACTTCACCACAGACACACACACACACACACACACACACACAGAAATGCACACAGAAACACACACACACACACACACACACACACACACACACACACACACAATGCATCCATCTCGCCAGCCACCCAATCTGGCAACAACAGACACCTCAGTGGCCAGAGGCTTAGTGGGGTGGGAGGGGCGGCTCCAGTCACACACTCAGATGCACTTTCACTGCACAGATACACACACATCTCCTCCCCCTGTGGTGTCTTGCATTGCACCGTCTCTCTCTTGGCAGATGTGGCCGTTGGATCAGGCACTAACAAATTCCTCTCGTCTCATTTGTGGGGCGCGGGGAAGCCGAGCTGGAGCGGCTCAGGCACCTGTTGCAGCGCAGAGAGAGAGAGAGAGAGAGAGAGAGAGGAGTGTGCACAGCAGATGAGGCGTAATTGAAATGCTTGTTTACATGATATCCAGTTATTGGTGTGAAAGCCGCAGCTGACAGAGTTACGCACACTGTACAGACGAGAACGCAGGGAGGATAGAGGAACAAAAGTCATGCTTTAAACGATGTTGCGGCGGCACGGCAGGCTGGGCTGCCGGCCATGTGCTCAGGATGCAGTGGGTTCAATCGAGGCTCTCTCGTCTTCTGTCACATGCTTGCTGCTGCTCTCTTCCCTGTTTCTTGTCAGATAAGACAGAAATACCTTAAAACATATATCCAACGTGTTCTCTGGATAGTTATGTTCTATGAAAGCTGATGGCGTTTGTTGATAAAGCAATTTAATTAATTATAGTTTTGTGGGCTTTGAAATCATTTTATTAAAGGGTACTGCAAGGTTTTGGCCATGCTTATTCTTAGGTTAATACCAACGTACCATTTGCTTGTAAAAGTATTTGAATTGCATAAACAGAACCTGAAACAGAACAATAAATACAAATAATTAATTCTGCAAAAAACTGTTCCTAATTTTAGTTGCAGTGGATTCTAAACTGTATAAACATCTTATTTTAATAAAAAATAAATCAATAGAATTCAACAGCCATCTTTTTGAATTCTTCAGTGGCTGAATATCAATGGAGCTCTTGACCTCTTCACCCTGACCTCCATTCTCCACCTCAGCAACAGGCGTTTTTCACTGCAGATGTTTTCATTCACCCTCATAGGAAAAGCGCAGGTGTTATCAACATCATTATCGATGGCTCCGCTTTATTCAAGTTGGCTTGAAATTGATGATGGCTGTGTGGGAGTGAGCCAGCGTGAACAACACCGGGATCCGGGCGCTGAAGCAGCTAAACAGAATTCACCCATAATAGATTCATTGTGCTTTTTCCCCACAGGGACGTGTCAAAAGTTTTGTGAAAAATGTCGTCTGACCTTGCTGTGTGCTGACCATGAGGTCACGTCAGGATGCTTACACATGCTAGTCATCAGTAAATGAAATTTGGTTAAAAAAAATTCAACACAGTGTTCATTTTCTAGCTTTTTCGTGAGGTTTCAACCACATATCACAGTCTTCTGCTTTGCTCTGAAAGTTGTTAGAGGCCATTAAAAGCTAAAGAAATGGCTCAGTAGACCTAGATGTTTTTTTCTGTCCAACTATTATATCCAAGGTTAAGAGTGAACTCTCACACTCAAGTGAATGTAATATTTAAGAACTGAAGAGTCACCTGTGATAAAAGATATTCATGGTATTCATGGGATAATACTTTAAACTGATTATGAGAAAAGATATTATATCACTGTTGTTGCTGGCTCTTTTTACAGTGAATACAATTTGTTGAAAGCATAAAACCAAGGGCCTAGAAATAGTTCAACCACATGTATTTAACTGGATAAAATGTTCCATGAACTCATCACGATGCAGATGTTTCAATACAATCCTGCTCGTTTTTTTTTTCCTCCCTATTTTTTGCATATATTGGGGCCACACATTCTTGGCTCTGACCCCTATTTCATCGTGAGGTTTGAATGTGAAAGGCAAATCAAAATTCCTTTTGTCAAAACAAAAGTGCCCTGAGCAGCCACTGAGGGTTGGCTGGGGTCTAGGGATTCCCATGGCCTTACTGCCATCCAGTTGACTCAGCCTTCTGCTCAGGCAGAGGCTGATTTTACAGTGAGCAGTTCAGAAAAATGGCTCATGTTTGTTTTAAACCTCTGTATTAGGAACGGATTAGGCGCTCTGAGCTGTTTAATATGATGGTTTATAAAGGGGGAAATGTAGTTTGCATATTATGAATTGTTTTCATCCCCACCACAAGTAGTTAATTTTTAAGCAATACAATCTGATGTAAGTCTGGGCATGGCTGCGGCAGATTTTCCCAACCCCCCTCTCTCAATCCCTCCCCAGCACTCACACACTCACACTCACACTCACACACACACTCACACACGCACGCACGCACACGTGCACGCGCAACCCCGCTGCTGCTCCAAAATAATTTTTTATACAGCGGTGGGGGCTCCGGGAGAATATAAGGTGGCCATATTTGATAGATTTGTGTCGGGCTCTGCAATGCAGAAAGCGAGAGTTGTTGCGTGTGATCTTGCAAGTGACAGTGACACCAGGCAGGTCTGTCGGATTCGTGACTGATCCGGACTTGGGGAGAGAGGGAGAGAAAAAGAGAGGTGGTGGGGTTGGGAGGGAAGGAGGGAGGGAAGGAGGGAGGGAGGGGGGTCAGACAGAAAAGAAACAAACAAGTAACAATGTAACTTACATGCAGTCACACACCCCTTTTTCTTGTAACAATGTGTACGTTTTTAAGGAGGGAGGGGGCGCGCAGAGAGAGAAAGAGAGACGGAGAGAGATAGAGAAAGGAGGAGGGGGGTGCGTTCTGAAATAATATAGTCAGCCATTTTTTATGTAAGGGGATTTTTTCTTATTGGGGGGGTTGTTAAAAAATAAATATAAGAGGGCGGCCATCTTTGTTGCTCTGCCTAGTGTAAAATATTCCAAAACGCCCCCCACTTTTTTCTGTGCCGATTTGAATATTAAATAAATATCATATATTCGGGCAAGAATACGCTTTTTTGAATACAAGGACGGATCCAATGACAGGAATATAATGTCCTCTCCTCTCCGGTCCTGTGAGGAAGACGAGGGCATGGTGGTTAATTCCGAGGGAGGAGATTTTGATGAAGAAGACGACGACGGAGACCTAGACGAGAACGCAAGCGACATAAACTCGCCGGCGGCGCCTCGGGAAACTGCAACACCAGCCGCGCCAGGTACAGTAAGAAAACTGGCGGACAAAGTCGGGAGCGCGCACACGAAATAAAAACACTCTTACTAGCACAAAAATCTCGGAGAAAGGGGCTTGTTGGAAGTAGCCGAAACCCGCAGTTTGTGCCCCATATCGGTGCTTCTCCAGGTCCAGTACGGTACAGTAGAGCCCAGCGAGGACTCGGGTGCGCGCATATAAAATAGAAACATACTTAGTTGTGATTTTTAAAAAAAACAAGAGGCACCTTTTTCAACCATCTAAACCCGTTATATATCCACCAGTTATTGCACCTTTATGTCGCTGTAGGTGCCATACTTGCAGCTGCAACACAGGCTGTGTAAAAAAAAAAAAAAAAAAAAAAACACGAGTGCGCGCTTTGAAAACACAAACTCCAGTCCAGTTTGTAACAAAATGCACTAATATATCCAGCCGGCCAGATGTGTTTCTCTGTTTTTGTTTATGCCCGTTTGCCCCCCTCCCAACTCCACTTCCTCTTCACCTCCGGCACATCCCAACAAAGTTTAAGCTAACTTGTCACAGCTGGTTTTCGTCGCAAGCCTCACTTCTTCATCATGAAAAGTTGCAGCTTGTTTCTCCCTTTAAGTCCCTTTCTGACAGGTCCTAGACTTGCATGACATGTGACTGAGCGCCGTCTGCGGGGTAATAAGGTCGCCCTGAAGGGTAAAAAGCACACGGCAGTAAGGTTGGCGGAACATGGACTCCACTGCCCGCAGGCTATATATATTTGATACCCACCTCCAGAGGAGATGGTGCGTTTTTGCTGTGCAGACATAAAAGCCGGGTGATAGTGTGAAATCGTGGAGTGAGACAGAAACTTGCCCCCCTGCCCCTTTGTCGCTATGACAGGTCAAAATAGGACACCGCTGCTGCATGCTGCTCTCTTGCAGGACAGAGAGGTGTGACTGTTTTAGCTCCCTTGGTAGCTTAGCAAACCTGCTCACTAATTACCCGCATTAACATTTTTTATTAAATGCCCATCCTCGGCATTAGGCTCCACAGTACTGGGGGGGGTTGCTGCAGGAGTTGCTCCTTTCGGCAGCAATAAAGCCAGTATTGATCTTGTCAAAAGATGATTGACTGAATGCATATGACATTCTGGAAGTTTCTGTGACAGTGAAGTAAAAAAAGTACAAAAAGACAAAAAGGTGCAGAAAGTATCGGTTGACCACGCTGCTACAGTGACAGGCGTAAAAATAACTAGTAATATTTTGGGTTGGATGCAATGCAGATGTGGAAGAGAAACCTAAAAGTCACAGGGCAGATGTCATAGGGGAGAAAATGTGAGGTTACTCAAAATAAACAGGGAATAAGTGTCATTTCCTAAGTGAATTTTACAGGAATCAGACATTGCATTGTCTTTGGACTTAATTAGCTCGGACTCGCCGCCATGCCGTTGCCAGACAGATAGATTAGTGTCGGGCTTCCCGTCGAGGATCTTAACCCCCTGACGACCTCTAGCAGCGGTCACAGAGGTGATCGTGGTCCCGGTGCGGGAACAGCAGGGCGTGCAGGAGAAGTCGTTCCAGTTCACCGCGAACGTCCCGCTGCTGCTGGCGGCCTCTGAATCACCGAGCCCCGCGTGCGTGCTGCTGCCGCCCCCGGCGTGTCTTCGGCGGCGGCACGCTTCACGGATACGCGGGAAGCGGGGTTGGTGGATGGGGTGGGAGTGAGGGGGAGGAGGGGGTGTTGGAGCGGGGAGGGGAGGGGAGGGGGGGTCTGCTGCCGCTGCTGCTGCTGCTGCTGCTGCTGCTGCTGGTGGGAGCGCGCACCAGCAAAAGCAGGCAGACAATAAAATCCGACAAAATGTATCCTCTCTAACTGGCTGGTTGCATGGCAGAAACCGCAGCCCATATTTTGGTTATGCTTTAATGCTTTGCTGCGTTTTGTCTGAAGCTGAGGCTGCAGCTACCTGCCCGTGTCTTTCTGTGTATCTCTCTCTTTACTCCATGCCAGGTCAGGTTGCAGGTTAAATTGCTTTCCCTGTATTTGTGATATTGCCCAGGGACCATGGGGAATAACTGGCCTGATACTTTCACATCATTTGTTCCCTGAAAGCAGAGATACAGTCGTGCAGTTTAAATGCACTGTAGTTTGAAAGTCTGCTGTGATGTAAGCCAGGTTGGGCTTGTGTTTGTATTCCCTTAAATCAAAAGTTTTTCAAATATATTAACACAAGATTTTTATTTGTTCTGTTAGATTCTGAAAAAAAATAGAACAAATAAAAACACTAGAGGTGGTTTGCTTACGAAGCTTGTCACACTTTTGCATTGCCATAAACCAATTATCTCTATGCTATGGCACCACTAACACCAGCTGTCAAATCTACTTACAGCCCTTTGACAAACTGTATCTAATTTAGCATGTGTCACAATTCAGGCAAGGTCAGAGGTCGCTGAAGCCACAGTGGCTGTCACGCAGCGTTTGTTGTGTGTCATTATGCTCAGCGGGGATTAGCTGCCTTGTTGGGAAGTGTTTTGAGAAGATTATTGTTCGTCTGATCATGATAGCTGTCTTTCTTTCACGCTTCCTTTAACCCCCACCCCACCCTCACCCCCTCTGGCGCTCCCCTCGAAGAAGAGGCAGAGATATCAGACAGAGAGGTCCCGTGCAGGAAGAAAGGGAGACCGAAGAAAAAGAAGGACACAAAGAAGAAGGACAAAGAGGGGAAACCTGTCAAAGCAAAAAAACGCAAGAAGATTGTAAGTTTATTAAAGCTGTCATGCTCTGAATTTTTTCACTTTGCTGACTCTATTACACCGTCTTCATTATCTTTCCATATCTTCCTCCCTCTTCCCCTCTTCAGGACAGTGATGTAGACAGAGACTCGGACAGAGAAAGAGACTACGGCGAGAACTCCGACAGTGTAGCCAGTGACTATGGATCTGGTGAGAAAAAGAAAAAGAAGAAACATAAAGAAAGGAAAGAGAAGAAAACCAAGAAGAAGAAAAAAGATGACGGGGACCGAGACAGCAGTCAGGAGGAAACAACAAAGGTAAAGCATGATTACCAAAACACATCTACGTCAACACATCCACGACATCCACGCCTCTCATTTGATCGGTGGCTTCTTCTCAGCAACCAATAGAGCAGAAGACCTCGGCCCAGCTGGCAAATGAGTGGGGTCTGGAGGATGTTGATCATACCTTCACAGAGGAAGACTACAGGGAACTCACCAACTACAAAGCCTTCAGCCAGTTCATGCGGTATTACTCTTTACTTTTTCTTTTTACATGGTGAGGATGTGGGTGAAATGAAGACAAGCAAACCTCATATACAGGGTTTTGTATAAGTGCGATGTTATGTTCAATATCTTATTTTTAAAGAAGCTTGTTTGTGGTTAAGGCTCCAGTTTTCATTTAGACCACATCCACACTAAATCTGCTAATTTAGAAAACACTGTTTACGTATGAAAACGGGATCCTCACTTTAATTTTCAGTTAGTTTTCTATTTAAGCTTTCCTTCCGCGCCACTTCACATATTTCTCTGTTTGTGTTGTCAGATGGAGCTGAACAAGCATGAAATAGGGATTTTATCACTGCACAGCTTACATTTCGCAAAAGCTGAGTGTTCCCCGTCCACACTAAAATGTTTTTGTCGGCTTTTACAGATTTTTCCGCTCTGCTGATTGTTGTCAACAAAAAGTTCAGTTTTCAGTTTAGTCCACTTGATATGGATATACTCTTTAACCTTACTTTGCCTTGTTGTTTTTATTTAAATTAAACCAACAAAGGTAGTGGGGTGTGATGGATAAATGTCCCACATTATCCAGTTTTTAAGGCTTTTATAATTCTATTATTAAATATGCTGTTAAATCAGACCAGGATTGAGTTGGAGAGTTGCTGAGTGCAGTTACTGTGTTAAAACAGGGTAAACTAATTGGAAGGATTTTAGGAATCAAAGCAGTTTAGCTGCTAATTATGCAGATGTTGAGTCTGTGCGTGGTCTCTCCAGTCCTACAGAACAAATTGCCCCCTGGGGAAAAAGAAAGTTTCTTGAATTTAATTGAATTAAGATCATTCATATTAACAGAGTGTTCTGCTGCTTAGAAAACCTTTCCCACAGTTCCTACATGTATCTATTCATCTCATGCAATTAAAGCTTGTTTCAGATTCTGCTTTTCAGGTCTGCCTGTTGAAAGCACATACTGTATGTGGAGACATATGCATCATATGTACTTTTGCAGTACACAATATTGACTAATGGCTTCCTTTCAGCAGCAAAACATTACTGACTCAAATGTTTGCTTTGCTGGCCATAACAGTGTTACCAGTGATGATGAAAATAACTTTCATATAAACCTTTGCTATAGTCTGTTCTAACAACAACTCTCTTAGATTCTTATTCTCCACTGCATTTCCATTTCTTCAGTATTAGGTGCATGTGCTCTCTCGTTTCTGTACGTGAGGGTTATTTGTTTCTGTTTAACTTTGTATATAGTTTCATACCTCTCGTTGTCACACACACCATTTTCCTTCTACACTGGCAGAACCACTCAACAAAGACTGTCCAACGGTCCACTCTCAGCAGCAACACAGATACAGGAGGCTTGGGTTGAAGGAGCACAAGTGCTATTACTTGAATCTGTCTTGCTCTGGCAGTTGTGCCTTTATCGCCTCAGCTAGCTGCGTTAGCCGGTGTGTCGGTGGCAGCCTGCGCCTCGGCCTCTGTGGCTGACTCATACCTGCTTTGACTCTGATAAGATGAAGTAATCCATAAAGCCTAAAATATGTTTATGTCGGGTAGTTATTTGGTTGTCTGACTCCTCTGGCAGACTTCAAGTCTTCTCAGCCAAATTGTTCTTCCATCAAATAACTACATCTTTATATACAAACCATTCCTGTGGCTAATGCTTATAAATATAATTGACAATCATGAATGAATCATGAATTTTTAAACTATTAATAGTCAACAAACTTTGTGCCATAGCTCTTAGAATCAGGTTAAAGCTTGGTCTTTTCAATGATCCTGCCCTCTCTCTCCCAGGCCGATGATAGCCAAGAAGAACCCTAAGATCCCCATGTCAAAGATGATGACCATCCTTGGGGCCAAGTGGAGGGAGTTCAGCTCGAACAACCCCTTCAAGGGCAACGCCGCTGCTGTTGCGGCGGCTGCCGCAGCTGCCGCCATCGCCGTCGCCGAGCAGGTCTCTGCAGCGACCGCCTCGCCTGAGCCCCCGCCACAGCCGCCACCAATCAGAAAGGCCAAGACGAAAGAGGGCAAAGGTCAGTGGTCAGCTTTAGACTGGTGCCCCTTTAGGTTTTGTGTCAGTTTTGGCTTTTTGTTATGTAGTAAAAAGAAATAGACAGACACATTTTTCATTGACATGATTCGTGTTTTAAATGATTGGGTCCAGTAAAGACTGATCCCTGGACCACCATGACACAGCAACAGTCATCTTTGACACGCTGATGTCTTCTGAGTAGATGTTTACAAGTGTACTGTGAGTCCAAACATCATAGTTACTCTCTGCTAATAGAGTATACACACTCTACTTTGTCGTTCTTTTATGTCAAATGTTGCATATGATCTCGTTATCTGTCCAGGCCCCGGCTATAAGAAGCGCAGTAAAAGTCCTCGAGTCCCAGACAAGAAAAAGGCTCTAGCAAAGGCTAAAAAGATGGCACCTATTCGTATCAAACTATCACCCATAGGTGCCAAGAGGAAGAAGAGTTGCTCAGTGAGTATAAAGTTTATAGTGTGCTGATAACAGTGGATGGAGATAAATAAATAGCCTTGATTCTTTTTTTTTTGACCTGTTCACCCCTTTTTCTTTCCTTCTTTCACTCCCTTCCTCGACTCCTTCTTGTCCTCTGTCAGAGTGAAGATATGGACGAGGATGAGTCGGAGCAGGAGGACTCCAGCGTTCACAGCTCCTCGGTTCGCTCTGACAGCTCTGGCCGTGTCAAGAAGAACAAGCGAGGACGGCCTGCCAAGAAGAAGAAGAAAAGTAAGCAAAACTGCTTGTACAGCACATAATTATAAATGATATACAGTCCAGCAAGTTCACATTTATCTAATAACTCCTGTGTGAAGTTTACTTTAACTTTTTGGAATCCAAAGGAGCAATGCAACCCGGCTCTTTGAGTTCTGCTGACACTAAAGCAGTTTTCTATAAAAGGATATTTTTATTAGCCTTAGTTCTGAGTTCAAACCTAAATGTGAGAGACTGAATGCCCATAACGTGTTACATCACTGAACTCCTCTCAGCACACGCAAACATTTACTAACCCACCCACTTTGTTGCTTTATGTGAAAACTACATGAGGGATGAGAGTGGCAAAAGGTGTCTCTCCAGCTTCATTTTCAGGTCATACCAGGCACTTGTTGCTCAATGTGAATGAATAATGTTTCCATACCTGACACCAGAGTTTCATTTTACCAGCCCGGGCCAAACTGAATTTAGAAGGACGGCGCACTCTTGTGTTTTGCAGACTCACTCTGTGATGTACTGTGTAGAGCCCACTGAGTGTGGTGCTACACGAGAAGGAGAAACACCTAAAACGAGGAGTTGACAGTTTAAAAAAGTCAACTTTATGGAAATTGTGGCAAAATTTACCGGCAGAGAAGAATTTGTCTTTATCAGGTGTGGAAAAATATCTGTGGACAAGTTGATAATGATGATTACAACCACAAAGTCGGCTGTGGAAAGTGACTGGATGCTTATTTACACAGTACTTTACAAAGTTTGTGAGTTATCTTTTAGTGTGGAAAACAATTTCAGACATATGTAAGTCATCTCCGTCCCCTGTCTTTGTGCATCATCTCCTGCCCACCTCCAGTCCCAGGTGAAGAGGAAGGGGACGGTTATGAGACGGATCATCAGGACTACTGCGAGGTGTGTCAGCAGGGCGGCGAGATCATCCTGTGTGACACTTGTCCCAGAGCTTACCACCTCGTCTGCCTCGAGCCCGAGCTGGACAAGGCCCCCGAGGGCAAATGGAGCTGTCCGCACTGCGTGAGTACAGCTACACAGAAACACGTCTGCTCCTGCTTTTCTATGTATGATTCTGCTATGCATCCTTATTCACATATTTATCTCCAAGCAACATGTCTACTTGGCAAACCTGAGTGAAAAAAATGGTTTGGTTTTTGTTTTTTTGTTTCTTTGCCTGGAGGACCAGATGAGTAGAGGCTTTGTAGCTGCATCAAAAATCAGAGTGGAGAGCTGGCTGCATGCAGACATACACAATCCTGCCCAGACAAAGACAGATACCTGAGGTGGTGCTGCGGGTATAAGTCTATTCAATATTGTCACCAAAAGATCAAAGTGCACTGTCTGGCTGCTGAATCTTTGATGGAAAACGAAATGAACTATATCACTTCAGGAAAGACAAGATTGAAACTGCCACCAGAGGAAAAAAGAAAACACTGACCAATCGTTATAAAGCCATTATGTGGAGAATGTGATTATTACATCGTTCAAACTTTTTTTTTTTTGTGTTGAAAAATGAGCCACAGTGAAAATTGTTTCTATGTGTTGCATTCAGGCCTTCTCAGTGTCTCCAGGTGTGTGTGTGTGTGTGTGTGTGTGTGTGTGTGTGTGTGTGTGTGTGTGTGTGTGTGTGTGTGTGTCAGTAGCAGTGTGCATCACTGTCTACCACAGGGGTGCCAAGTTAGTAATTCCACACATAGTGGATTTAATGTGGTATGGGCAGGTGTCTGGCAGAGTTGTTATGTGCATGTTCTGGCAAAATCGTAACTCTTTTCTTTTTGCATTTTACTGGGTAGTTTTGACAGTAAAGAAAACCCCAAATCCTTTGTGAAATTTGACTGATTTCATTCACAGATGTATTGATTACCAGCTGCCAGTCATTGCTGTTGTTGCTAAGAAGTTTGATCTTCAACTACATGAAACCGAAATCTGCAACGTGCAAGTTGCAATTTGCAACATGATTTAAATTTCCTCTTTCACTCACTTTGAACATTTCACTACCAGTGCAAGAGCCTTGTAGGTACTGCAAATGTAGCTGCAATTTGCAGACAACAATCATTTGCGAAACATGATGCAGCCATCGTTTGGGATCTGTGTTTGTGACGCTTGCAAATTTGTGAAACAGTTGCGATAAACAACCCACATGTATCTTTTATTCTGTACAAAGGTAATGTCCATCAGCTGCCACAGTTTACTGCTTCCTTTCCCGTCTGTCAGCACGTTGATTTAGCAAAACGTCCCAACGTCAGTTTTGAGATTTGACTGCCGACTTAAACTAATTCCATCTTCTGCCAAATATGTGAGCTGTTCTTCCGCTAGAAAGTGTTTATTGGTGACTGAGGAGGCAGTGCTGTTATAACCATTAATACTCATTGCTCATTAATGGCCATTTTGCACAAGAAAAATAGACTTCTGGTCTGGTTGGTTTTGTCCCATTAAAGCCCTCTACTTGAACAGCAGATCAGGACCCTCAGCAGTGGAAGGGAAAGTACTCCTTTTACGCTTTCCCCCTTTAATTTGTCCTGCTAGTCCAGGGATCAAACCCGTGACTGTGACGCCCCTCCCTCCCTATCACAAGCTGCCTCTAAGTTCTCCTCACGTTTATCTAATTCTCTCAGTTGTAGTTACTCAAAGCAAAAAAGAAATCTTGACCTTTACCTGGATTCACCTTGACAACTGAACAACAACATAAAGGGCAATCATCTTTCAATAAATTTGCAATCAAGTTTCATTCATATATTCAGGACTCCTGTTTCAATCAGTTAAATGTTTCCCTGTCGTTCCTCCTTTCCCAGGAAAAAGAGGGAATCCAGTGGGAAGCAAAGGACGAGGACTTTGAGGATTTTGAGGAGGACAGCGAGGACAGAGTCATAGCAGAGGTCGGGGTCGGGATTGGGGTGGGGGTCGCCGTTGGTGTCCCCGCGGGGGCGGAGGAGGAGGATGACGACCACATGGAGTTCTGTCGGGTGTGTAAAGACGGAGGTGAACTGTTGTGTTGCGACACCTGCACCTCGTCCTACCACATCCACTGTCTAAACCCACCGCTGCCAGAGATCCCCAACGGAGAGTGGCTGTGTCCGCGATGCACGGTTCGTTGCTCTGCTGTTCTCCGCTCTGTTTTATCTTATTGCTGTATCTCTTTGATTCAGGACTCTGTGTATAGCCCATCGGATTTACTTGTTATATTGCTTGTACGAGGTTGATTTACCCATTTACAGGTCTACGATTTACATGTCACTTATGGATATATGATGGAGGTAGATTGCATCAGGGTCCTTATATCCAGACAGGATTGTGCTAATGGGACATTAAACAACTTTTTACAAGTTTATGGCAGAAAAAACAAAAAATAAATCAAAATATTGCTTAAAATTATTGTTGAAAATAAGAAAACTAATACAAAAGAAGAAGTGTGTAGATTATATATTTGGTATTTATGTTAAAACATATATTAACATCAAAGCTGTTCTTGTCCCAATAATTGAGGGATGATCTGACTGAAGCAAAATGCTCCCATAACAAATTTCTATTTGACACAAACAACCATATTTACATTTTATTAGTAAATGTATTCTCGCTCTAGTGTCCGCCAATCAAAGGTCGCGTCCAGAAGATCCTCCACTGGCGGTGGGGAGAACCTCCGCCTCCCATTCCCGTCCCCCCTGCCCCCGACGCCCCACCTGACGCCCCACTACCACCACCCATGAAGGGCCGAGCCGAGAGGGAGTTCTTTGTCAAGTTGGTTGGACAGTCCTACTGGCACTGCACGTGGATCACTGAGCTCCAGGTGAGAGGGATGAGTGTGAAGTGATATTCAAATCCAGAACCGATAATAAGAAAAGTTCTTTTATCTATGTTTTGAGCAGAATAAACTCAAGAATACAAAGATGGAGGACTATGAAAGATATACAGAGACTCTGCTCAAACCTACCTCTCTACCTCTCATAACCGCTTCTGACTAACTTGAAGACAAATCATTCTTTCTCCGCCCCTTCTTCTTCCCTCTTTCCTCCAGCTGGAGATCTTCCACTCAGTGATGTATAGAAACTACCAGAGGAAGACGGACATGGACGAGCCTCCCAGTCTGGATTATGGCTCGGGAGGAGAGGACGAGAACGGAGTGGGAAAGAGCGAAAAGAGGAGGGCCAAGGATCCCCAGTACGCCATCCTGGAGGACAAGTACTACAAATATGGCATCAAACCTGAGTGGATGATGATCCACCGAATCATCAACCACAGGTATGGGACTGTACTTTCAGTTTCTGGGCTTCTTTGTGTGTGTGTGTGTGTGTGTGTGTGTTTGTCCAAATGTGTGTGAATGCACGGACATATCTTGCTGTTAAAAGTCAATTGTTGCCTCATTACTTACTGTATCTTAGAAAGGAACCATTCATGTTGCAAAGTTAAAAGGTAACATGTTAAACTACTATATTTATTATCATGTGCTGATTGCAAATTTTCTGACTTCCTGTCAGTGTGGACAAGAAGGGGATGTACCACTACCTGGTCAAGTGGAGAGACCTGACCTACGACCAGTGCACCTGGGAGAGAGACGACCTGGAGATCCCAGATTTTGCAATTTACAAGGGGAACTACTGGAGACACAGGTAGGACTGCAGGGGACATCTTCATCTTCATCCTCGCTGATTTAAATGTGGGAAAACAAACCAGCTTTGATTGTATCTCAAGCTGTTTTCATCCCAAGGGCCCTAAACTGCAGCCACAATATTTCAAATACTACATCAGCACATTCTTTTTCATTTAATCCAGGAAGCCAGTTGGCAAAAGAGGTTTCATAATAACTGTAATAATGCTGTTGTCGGGACCTGTGAGCATCCAAAGTATGGAAACCTGCTGTAGTTTAATGCATAGTTCAATTCATGTATTGAACACTCTGTCCGTATACACATTTATTACCCACATTTAGTTTATTTAATTTCTTGCTTGGCTGATATTGGAGCATTGACTTGGTCACAACTGTCTTCCTGTCCCAACAGAGATGCAATAATGAAGGAAGATCCAGACAAACCCAGGAGGATTAGGAGCAAGAACCAGGAGGGTGAAGAGGAGTCTCCTGCCTCACCGGTTACTGACGTGAGTTAGCTGTAGCCGTAGTTTCAGTTTCCTGGTTTATATCGGCTTCCTGTCTGTTTTTTACACCAAATCTCGGTTCTAGAAGAATGAACTTGTTGCAGACGCTCTGGAGCATTGTCCAGTAACAATATTGTTTGAAAAATGAGACGGTTGGTTTTATTTTTAATGTTTTAAATTGACTTTGTCTTACTCTGTTATTCAAAAGATACCTGTTCCCGAAGGGGTGGAGCCAGTCAATTTTCAAGTCATACTTTCTTTAATGGAGTTATTTTGTCTTCTAGAATAAAACTAACAGGATTACCTTGAATTAATTAAAGCAAATATCAATGAAATTTAATCCTGTAATATTCCTACGATTAATACGTCCCATACTGGTAAGACTGCTGTTAAAAATACAGTTAATCGTGTCCCAGTCAGGTTTTTCAAACCTCCTCTTGCCTTCTTTCCTTCCAGCCTACAATAAAATACGAGGAGCAGCCAGACTTTGTCACATCGACAGGCGGGACGCTGCATCTGTACCAGCTGGAGGGTCTGAACTGGCTGCGGTTCTCCTGGGCTCAGGGCACAGACACCATCCTAGCAGATGAGATGGGCCTGGGCAAGACCATCCAGACCATCGTCTTCCTCTACTCACTTTTCAAAGAGGTACCGCAGCTGCATATTCCTGTTATCGTCTTCTTCCACCTCCTCGTGAATGTTGATACCGAAGAGCTCTCTTCTGTTCCTCAGGGTCACACTAAGGGCCCGTTCCTGGTCAGCGCTCCTCTCTCCACCATCATCAACTGGGAGAGGGAGTTTGAGATGTGGGCGCCTGACTTCTACGTGGTGACGTACACGGGGGACAAGGACAGTCGAGCTATCATCAGAGAGAACGAGTTCTCCTTCGACGACACCGCTGTCAAAGGAGGAAAGAAGGCTTTTAAACTGAGGGTGAGGAAGAGGGGAGGACAGGAAAGCGAAGACGACACTTTTAGCAATGGGCAGGAAGGAAGATGGAGAGAAAATAATCAAATAAATCAGCGCTATCATTGCCTTTTTACAGCAGAGCCGGAAAGGACATGAGGAAAAATTATTTGAGCTTGTTACACAAACCTGACATTAACATTAACCACTGTAATTTAGGAAAACAATGACTTTTGACTTTCTGTTCCTGCAGAGGGAGGCTCCTATTAAATTCCACGTGCTGCTGACTTCCTATGAGTTGGTGACCATCGACCAGACGGCGCTCAAGTCCATCGACTGGGCCTGTCTGGTGGTGGACGAGGCTCACCGCCTTAAAAACAACCAGTCCAAGGTACTACAGCTAGTGTGTGTATTTGTAAACAGCAGTATAATTAAGAGGCCAGCCAATCCATTAAAAAAAACAATACTGATGTAAAGGAAAATAATGATAGACGAATGACAGGGAGTTTTGTCGTCTTATTTTGTAGTTTTTCAGGCGTCTGAATGACTATAAGATCGACCACAAGCTGCTGCTGACAGGAACTCCTCTTCAGAACAACCTGGAGGAGCTGTTTCACCTGCTCAACTTCCTCACACCCAACCGCTTCAAGTAGGACTTCTCGAACACACACACACACACACGAATATACACATACTGGTATTCATGTAGAAGTCTGCAAAATATATGCTTTTTTTTTACTCTGCCAAGTCTGGTAAACTTTATTTGCATAGAGATGTTTGTTGATGAAGCCAGAGTTAGATAATATCTGTTAATTACTATCAGTACAAGCTTATTGATTTATCTGCTAAAGACAGATTTTTACCAGTCACCTCACCCCAGTTCATGTCTCTGGACAGTAACCTTGAGGGCTTCCTGGAAGAGTTCGCCGACATCTCCAAGGAGGACCAGATCAAGAAGCTCCACGACCTGCTGGGGCCTCACATGCTGCGGAGGCTGAAGGCCGACGTCTTCAAGAACATGCCCGCCAAGACCGAGCTGATTGTCAGAGTGGAGCTGAGCCCTATGCAGAAGTACGACACTGGGGAGAATTGAAGGGGGGAAATACGGATATAGGCTGGTGATTGAATTTCTGAATATGATGTCATGATGATTTGTAGACGAAAAGACATCTGAGCATCAACATGTGTAGATGAGCATCTTCTGGGGCTTAAACAAAGCTTTTTATCCCTCCTTTCAACACTTATATTTCAACAGTTTTTATTATTGGACCTGTTTCATGTTGAAATAGTCACTGCAATATATTTTTTCCTTCAAATTTAGCCGAGTTTATAACGAAGAGCCTGACATGTTTTCACCTGCAAATTATATAAGCCGTGGTTAATTAGCTGTGATTAAAGCCCAGTGGCTGCTGCATGAGTTAAACATGTTCTTTGTAAGAATTTCAACTCATTAGAAATGGACCATGATTATTGGATTTAATGGGAATCAAGCCCCACACTGAAAAATCATCATTAGGTACTTTATACTTATCTTTGCAGTGTAATGGTTGTTTCCCTTTATATGTTCATGTTGTAAAGTGTAACATCGAAGTAGGAGATGAGGGTGGAGAGGAGACAAAGAAAGGAAGTTTCTCTTAAATCTTTGTGCCACAGGTAGTTTACATTGAATAAGTATCGACTTGAGGTTATCGCTTCTTCATTTATGTCTTTGCGTTTTTAAATACAGGAAATACTACAAGCTGATTTTGACCAAGAACTTTGAGGCTCTGAACTCAAAAGGCGGAGGAAACCAGGTCTCCCTGCTCAACATCATGATGGACTTAAAGAAGTGCTGCAACCACCCCTACCTCTTCCCTGTTGCCTCCATGGTGAGAAGAGGCGAACGCACACAAACACACACACTTCTAATACATTTTGACACGTCTTTATTTGATTGTGTTTCACTTCTTTTGCTGTTTACTTTGTCTCACTCCTTAATTGCGTAGCAGTGACACCTTGTGGTGATGTAAGGTAGTGCTTTTGTATCGTATTGGTCCTCTGTAGATGTAGAATATGGTTCAAATTACAGATTAGATGCAGTTTATCATTTGTTCTTATTTATTATAGATAGATAGATAGATACTTTATTTATCCCCTAGGGGAAATTCATGTTTAGTTGTCACATTATGTCAGCTCAAACTTAAAAGATGTGTAAGGTTATTTACTTTGTGGCATTGTTTGTCTGTGTTTGCAGGAAGCCCAAAAAACACCCAGCGGTGCTTACGAGGGGTCGGCCCTCACTAAGGCTTCTGGGAAACTGATGCTGTTGCAAAAGATGCTGAGGAAACTGAAAGAGCAGGGGCACCGAGTGCTGGTCTTCTCACAGGTACACACACACACGCACCCGCGCACACACACACACACACACACACACACCACGCAAAGTCTGCATAAGCACAGGCAAGTGTATAAACGCACAACAGATGGACACCTCCCTTCACAGATGTTGTATTAGTCCCATGACACGTCTAGAAGGCTCAGCTGCAGACTGTCATTCCAGCTGTGGGTGTGTGCGTGGGTAATCAAGTAGAGATGAAAACATACACACATCGATGGCTCTCTCTCTCGCTCTCTCTCTCTCTCTCTCTCTCTCTCTCTCGCTCTCTCTCTCTCCTGTTTGCAGATGACTAAAATGCTGGACTTATTAGAAGATTTCCTGGACTATGAAGGTTATAAGTATGAGAGAATCGATGGAGGCATCACAGGAGCGCTGAGACAAGAGGCCATTGACCGCTTCAATGGTGAGATACTGGAAAATGGGCAGTCATTTAAGGTGCAGTGAGTTGTCCAAGACCTCTGTTGGTGACTAATAGGAAACACATCATCATCATCATAAACAAGTCTCTTCAGGCAGAAATATTAAAGATGCAGAAGGAGTCAGCCCGTCAGAGAAAGTTCATCAGAGCACGTCACAACACAAAATACTGCTGTAATATTTCTTTGCTTTTTGGGTTTTGGGCTTGAGAACAAGACTCCACATCCTGGCTGGATGATTGATGGTGTTAATATAGTTGTGGAAGTGGGCGATAGGACTATACTGTATATATTGTTAAAGATCTTCCTCTTGTCTACTGTTAGAGATTTTTGTTATGGTAAATATTTCTGGATGCATTAGGCAATTAATGAACATGGTAATATAGAATTTTTATAGGATTTTTGCATCAAAGCGATGAAGTACTTTGATTTATCAGACACTTAAATTGCTGAATTTTTTTGTCCAAATTTTAATAAGATAAAATAAAACACATTCTCAGTGGATTTTTACAGAGAATGTATTATATCTTGATTTATATCGATATGGCGACATAAGATCATATATGGCGTGTTTAGGATCTTTACGCTGTGACACCAGTTGCTACGATTGCTGATGTCTTTGCATTACAGAGGATGATGAACACTGAGGCGCGTGCTTAGATTGCTTTCATGTGGAACTTGGTCATATCACTAAGCAGTTGCTGGCAATGAATGCTATTAAATTATACACTATGAATTATGCCCTGTGGGTGAGTGATTCATTCGTGACGTTGGTACAAGTGCATTTACTACCCCAGGCGAACTCTCCTGTAATATTAAACTGTAATGACCCGTTAGAGCCACACAGGGAATAACTGAACAGAAAACTTTTCAGCAAACACATTTTTATTATTTTAATTTAGACTCCAGCTTCAACCAGTAGTTCTTAAAAAAGAGGGCGACAGCGATGATGCACACACAAACACACACACACACACACACACACACACACACAAACACACACACATCTCGATCCCAGTGACGAAGGGAAGAAAAATCCCCCACAAAAAATGTAAAAACTGTAGCTGTACATTTGCTGCAGGATGAGTCACATCTCTGTATTTCATAATGTTTCAAACAAATTTAAAAATATCATGAATCCTAAAAATAACTCAGATAACGACTCTCAAGTTTAAAGATTTACAAACTCTGCAGTATCCCCTGAAGTGAAAGATGACTGACATTTGTCATTAAGTTACTAATATCAACAGGATTCTGTCATTAAAGAGAAACTATTCATATTATTGGCTGTTTGTTTCTCTAACACACTGTCTCTTTTTTTCCAGCTCCCGGTGCTTGTCAGTTTTGTTTCTTGCTCTCCACCAGAGCAGGAGGTTTGGGGATCAACTTGGCCACAGCGGACACCGTCGTCATCTTCGACTCTGACTGGAACCCTCACAACGACATACAGGTACTACAGACTGAATTAATTATCTACTTTATTAACGTCCTTGTATCAAAACTTAAACCTCTCAGTTGTACTCAGCTTTGTCCCTCTCTACACAGGCCTTTAGTCGAGCCCACCGAATCGGGCAGGCCAACAAGGTGATGATCTACCGCTTTGTGACCCGAGCCAGCGTGGAGGAGCGTATCACCCAGGTGGCCAAGAGGAAGATGATGCTGACCCACCTGGTGGTCCGGCCGGGGCTGGGATCCAAGGCCGGCTCCATGACCAAACAGGAACTCGACGACATCCTCAAGTTCGGTACAGAAGAGCTCTTCAAGGACGAGATAGAAGGTGAGAACGGATTTTTTTTTATCAATTGAGAAAATTAGCTGCACTGAATATTTTTGTCAAATAAAATGAGGATTTTCAGTCAAATGTAATCACGTTGGAATTTGGGTTAAAGCTGGAATGGGACTGATTCTAATGGGGAAGAGTTGGCAGGCTTCTTCTCCTGAATGAAATTATTTTGTCAAACACGCTGACTTCAGTCTCCTTTCCTCTTGACAAATTTGGCCAGAGGAGAACACTTGTCTTACTCTGGTTTTATTGAAGATATAATTGGTTGACAAGAACATTTTATTTGTGAAATTGGTTCTGGAAGAAAAGGACCAGTAATTTCCATTTTTTAACTCCACACATGGCAGGTATGAAGAATAGTTCGGGAGACAAAGTTGAGGACGAGGGCAACGTGATCCACTACGACAGCGTCGCCATTGAGAGGCTGCTGGACCGAAGCCAAGACGCCACGGACGACTCGGACGTCCAGAACATGAACGAGTACCTCAGCTCCTTCAAAGTGGCCCAGTACATGGTCCGAGAGGAGGATAAGGTGAGTGAGAGATGTCCAGTCCGGCAACAATAAATACATAGAGATGGGCGGTAGAAAAACAGGAGTGAGTGGGAGAAATGGTGCATGAGAGGAGTGTTTTGTGTTTTTGACCACAATGCTCTTGTGGACTGGCCGACAGGTCAGAGGAGTGGGTGTAATAAATGAACATTGTAGTTTCATAACAAGTAACCACGAACGATTAGATTCATCTAAATATCTAGGACATGAGATCTTTGCACAGAAAGTCTGCAAATATGTTGCTGCAGTATGATGCAGATGAAAGTGTGATCATTTTAAAGTCTTTAATCGCTGATCCAAGGCCAAACACTTTTTACCGAAGTGCACATTTCACAATCTGTGAAAGTACCTGTGAGCAAATTTCCCCATGGCCACTGCTCTGTTGTTTCCTGTTTTATTTGTTGTTGTTTTTTTGTTGTTGTTTAATGAATGTGAGTGTGTCTCTTTGAAAGGACACACTCAGATAACCCTGTCCTAACCTTTCTAACCTTGCGCGTTCCTCGTCTCACGCTCCAGATCGAGGAGATCGAGCGGGAGATCATCAAACAGGAGGAGAACGTGGATCCGGATTATTGGGAGAAACTGTTGCGGCATCACTACGAGCAGCAACAGGAAGACCTCGCGAGCAAACTGGGTAAAGGCAAGAGGAACCGCAAGCCTGTGAACTACAACGACGCTGCGCAGGAAGACCAAGGTAAGCTCACATAAGCTTTTATGTCACTGACACCTTCATATTAGGATCATGTTAGGAGGAGCTTAAGATTCTTTTGGGAAGTTCGGGATTTAAAAAGGAAACCGCTTTCACTTGATCCTAAGAATTATTGCTGCAGTAGAACAAAGGTAAAACTCAGGATTTATTATTTATTATAAAGATTTGTTGTTTTTATCACATGATCCTAGTAGATGAGATGTCTCCTGTTTGAGTTATGGCCTGCACAGTGGACGTGAATGGGCCTGGCCTATTGACAGACCACCATGTGCTGTTTCAGAGTGGCATGCTGACATTTCAGATAACCAGTCCGAGTATTCAGTGGGCTCCGAGGAGGAGGACGAGGACTTTGACGATCGACCAGAAGGTAAGGAGAGATTTAAAAAAAAAAAAAAGGAAAGAGATAGAGAAAGAGCGAGAGAGGCATCAAGCAGAGCTGCTCATGGGCCACGAAAGATGCCTGCTGTAACACGCACACTCCCAGGTCTGTGGTGAATTACAGTTTAAAGTTGATTTAGTTGTTACAGTTGCCTGGCAGAGTCGAACAAATCAGATTGCCAAAAATGCGATCGCCATCCACCTCCTACTTCGGGCAGTAAAACACTCCCAAGCATTTCAGAAGCTTTTGATTTTTTTTTTGTTTATATAAATCTATTAACTGTAAATTTGAAGGAAACTCTGCAAGTCTGCAGAATGTGAGAAACTTAAAACAAACATCAGATTAACTATCTCCCTCTTCTTACATCCTATAATTCTCCCCGGGATTTGTTGCAATGTTTCCTTTGCCTACCTTTATCTACAGGTCGAAGGCAGTCACGTCGCCAGTTGAGGAATGAGAAGGATAAACCTCTGCCTCCTCTTCTGGCCAGAGTTGGAGGCAACCTTGAGGTCTGTACATATCTCTGGAACCAGTCCTGCTTTCATTTTTGGGCATTTTTTTTTTATTTTTTTTTAAATTGTGATAATACAGGAATCTGTCAGTTTTTATTTAAAGTGAACTTCACTCTTAAATATTTTTCTAAGAATCTTAAATTGGAGATGGCAGCAAAGCTATTACATCTCCATCACTTCTAAACCTTCCAACCTCATTTATCATCCTGATAATGGTGGACGTGATTATAATGGCCCGCATTGTTCAAGTTAGGATTCAGAGTTTATTTTAGCATTATTAGGCAGTCAGACCTGTTCAAAAGAGGCCTTGAGAAATTTAAGACATATAAGAAATACGACAAAGTTTTCTTTCTTTCTCTGGTGTTATTTCCACTGCCAGTTTCACTCAGGAAAATCCATAAAACACAGTAATTTCCATCAATAGGTGCTGGGCTTTAACACACGCCAGCGAAAGGCTTTCCTGAACGCAGTAATGCGCTGGGGGATGCCGTCTCAGGACGCTTTCTCCTCTCAGTGGCTGGTGAGAGACCTCAGGGGCAAGACTGAAAAGGAATTCAAGTAAGTAACGTACATCAAAGAGAAATATAGATTGAAACATAAGCTTCCTCCACTTGTGTCCGTCGTATGTATATATATATATATATATATATATATATCTCATCTTCTTCGTCTTTGCCAGAGCCTACGTGTCTCTCTTTATGCGTCACTTGTGCGAGCCGGTGGCTGATGGCGCCGAGACGTTCGCAGACGGCGTCCCGAGGGAGGGCTTGTGTCGCCAGCCGGTCCTCACTCGAATCGGCGTCATGTCCCTCGTCAAGAAGAAGGTCAGGCCAAAGCTGTTCGCCCGTCATAGGTCAAGACAAATGTGGTTTAAAGAAACAAGCTCTGCTCAGCTTTAAGTCCTTAAGATCACTGCCCTGGTTGACTTGGGTGATTGACACAGGTGGTTACCATGGCAGCAACATATGCGGTTTAACACTACGGCAAACACTTGCTGAGCAGGTACTTTGTCCGAGCTGTGCTGCCTGTAACTCTTCATGTAACGGCTTGTAGCCGCTCCTTGGAGTTTAATTACTTCCAGCAATTTGTCACTCATCTGATCCAGTGTCAGAAAAAAGTGGACTGTATTATTTTGTCACACGCTTGTTGAACCGATCCTGTCGCCTTGTCACAAATGACAAATACTTAGCTTTTCCTGCGACTGAATCCAGTGCAGGGATTGCTACCAGCAATGAAAACTACTACACAGAGAGTTAAAGTCTGAATGTCACTGAATGGCTATTTCAGAAAACAATGCCAACCATAATTAGTACCAAAAAATAAGGTTTGAATTCTTGAAATTCTTAAGGATTATAACTCAGGGTGTTCCCACATCAGCAGAGATAGATTCTTATGAAGTAGTAGGTCAACCTCAGGACTTAAAATATAAAAATGTCCCAGGTTTTTTTTTCTATGGAGGAAATCAACCATGATATTTTGAAAGATGTTTTCATTGCTCTGCTACTTTCATTTTTCCCAGTTTATCTTAGTTTATCCAAAGATCTTTAGTCCAGTTTTCACTCCAACTTGTTTAAACCTGCAGACATCCTGCTCTGCTATCTATGCCACAGGGAATGTATGATACACTGCCAGGCAAACAGAGCATGTGGGTGGAAGTTTAAGGTGGTAAAGGTGGTAGGGAGTGTGTGCGCCAAGCATTTTATTTTGCTGAGTGTTTGCTGGTGCTTTGTGCTCAGATTCAGGAGTTTGAGCACATCAATGGGCGGTGGAGTCTTCCAGAGCTCAAGCCTGAGGTCAATGTTGACAAATCCTCCTCCAGGGCCTCCTCTCCTGCGGTGAAGACCGCCACGCCCACCCCAGACGCCAGCTATAATAACACACCGTGCACCTCCAAGCCAGGTAATGAAACATGCCATACACCAGATCCAGCAGGGGGTGCTCCATGTAAAGGGCATCAGATTAAGTCGGGAGTTGAATACAACCTACAGTAAAGTGTGTGTGTGTGTGTGTGTGTGTGTGTGTGTGCGCGCGTGCGTGTGCGCATGGGCAGGAGATCCTGCTCCATCAGACAAGCTCGAAAAGAACGGAAAAGAGGGAGAGAAGGAGGAGGACAAAGAGGAAGGTGAGGCCCCGTCGGAGAAAGAGAAAGGGAAGGAGAAAGAGAAGGATGAGGGGAAAGAGGTGGACAGCAACAAAACTGGAGACCCTGAAGAGGTGGGACACTGTCCTCAAAACACAAGATACTCAGCAGCTAAAACATCTCTATTTTGTGGCTTTAGAGGCCACTTGTAACATTTTCTTGCATTTTATTAATTTTCTGCTTATGCATCTCTGCAAAACATGGGTCTGTTTTATTCAATTTTACTCGTATGAATAAGCAAAGCATGTGTCGAGCCACTGACAACCCACTGACTCTGCTGTCAACAATTTTGTGAGGCATGCTGTGCTGTTTTGTGTGTTTTTCTTCATTCCAGACGGCCATTTGTTTGTGGTGACTTTTATGTTGCATGAAAGTGAAACATTACATTATTATTGCATGGCAAGTGACAAAAACTTTGACTGGACAGCAGCATTTTTCATACAAAATCGGGAGCCAAGAATGCCTGGCTGCCTGGAAGGTGCAAATCAATCAAAAACACGACAGCATGGTTATCCACACAAAACACACAAGTGGATTAAAAAGCTGATATTGATTTTGAAGATTTTCACCATACAACAGCAAACACCAACAGTGAATACCAGCAATATTTATTCCATGCTGTGCTACTGTCCATAGCTCTCCTCCTCGACAAAAGAGACACAGCAAAGTGCGTCTCCTGGTCAAAAAGCCGAAGGCAAGGAAGAGAGCGACCTGAAAGAGGTGGAGAAGAAAGAAACGACTGATGCTCCAGCTGCAGGGCAGGAGAGCAAAGAGGAGACAAAGCAAACGTCAAAGCAAGAGTTCAAAGAAGAGAAATCAGGTAAAAACCAAACTCAATGAATTCTGACGTGCAAAAAAAAAAAGGAGATGAAGTAGGTTTAAACGGAGCAACGCAACAAGTCCTTTGCTAAAATTAATTGTATTTTTATTTTTTTTTTACCTGTAGAAGGAGAGAAGGCGGGGGAGGAGAGGGAAAAAGACAAAGAAAAGCGTGACGAGACACCCGCAGCAACGGAAGCGACAGATGCCAAGGATAAGCCCGAGGCGGCTGACGTGAAGAAAGGTGCATCTCACTGTCTGTGGTCGCATGCTGCCACAAATACATAAAGGACATATTTTGGCTAAATAATACCTTAACCTTCTTTCTCAATAACAGAGGAGGTCAAAGGTGAAAAAGATGCTGGAAAAGAAGTCAAAGCAGCTAAGGAGGAGGCGCCTAAGGGTAACGGGAAGCCTCCGACTGAGCGACCTCGCTTCATGTTCAATATCGCAGATGGTGGCTTCACTGGTTAGTACTGATTTATTTGCAGTGTATGTAGAATAGATTAAACTGACCTGTATGGTACTTTACCTAATGTATTTAGGATAAAACAATAACTTTCCTGTTCTTACAGATCAAAACATTGTCGACTTATAAAAGCTGTTTTTTTTACTGGATTGTTTCAAGAAAAGAGGAATTATGGATGTGAAATGTATGAATCATTCAAAAACTTAACTGGAATTGTAGCAGGAAAAATCTGATTTTCTTAAAAATAAAAATTCTGCCTAAAGGATTAGAGGAAGGTGAAGAGGTGCGAGTAATGTTGAGCAAACAAGCCACTAAGCGGTCTAAGCAAAATAAAATTTACAACTAAAACAATCAAAAAAACCAAACATTTGCCTTTGCTTTCCAGAGCTTCTGTACAAAAGCATTAGTGAGCTAAAATTACCTTCGCCTTGATCATAAACCCAGAAAAGCTCTGTGTGCTGTGGAAACACCTGCAGCCAGGTTTCAGCTAGCTAAGCACTTTGAGACCAACCTCATTTTTACCTTGTGCTGGCTTCACCCCCGCAGAGCTGCACACTCTTTGGCAGAACGAGGAGCGGGCTGCCATCTCCTCGGGGAAGATGAACGAGATCTGGCACCGCCGACACGATTTCTGGCTGCTGGCGGGAATTGTGATGTATCCTTGACAGCAGTTGCCCGTGCGATGACCCCGTGTGTTTATTTTTCTGTCGGCCGGCAGAAGCCCAGCGTAATAAGTCAACAAGCCAGCCAGAGCTCAGTAAACAGCAAACTGTGGCTGCTGGAAGCTGATGCAGTGGGTCATTTAGTTCATGTTGTTCTCTCTATTATGGTAATTAAGGCCGTGCAGCGTTCACATAAAATCATTATCCTGCTAGTTAATGCCGTGGCTCTGTTAGACTAAAACAAAAGGGGGGAAATGCTTTGTTTCAGCAGCTGCCTCAAACCTATTTTGTGCTATAATAACTGCAATTCTGTATTTTAAGAAGATGAAAAATGAAACAAATCACTCTAAAACAAAAAATCTATGTTTAGCTTAAAGAAATAGTTTTGGGAAATAAGATTTAGATGAGCAGGCCGATGCCACTCTCCTGTCTGTGGCTTGGCTTAGCTTAGCTTAGCTTAGCTTAGCATCAAGACAGGAGATGGTGGAAACAGGTAGCCTGGCTCTATTCAAAAACTGCTCACCAAGGATACAAACAAACAAGATACGACGGGTTAGTTTATATTGGAACTTTGGACAGAGCCACGTTAGCTTTTTCCACTTGCTTCATGTCTTTATGCTAAGCTAGGTTAATTGTCTTTTCTAGCTCCAGACACAAGGGTGAAATCTAAGAGCCCTCCCTGTTTAGCTTCACTTTATGTTACATTTATGAAGTTGGGTAGAAAAGATGGCCCACGCAGTTCTGCTTCTCGCTGTCTCTTTATTGCTGTTTCATGACCCTTGACCCCCCCCTCCCCCTGTGCCAGTCACGGCTACGCCAGGTGGCAGGACATCCAGAACGATCCCCAGTTCGCCATCGTCAATGAGCCTTTCAAGTCGCAGGCGAATAAAGGCAACTTCCTGGAGATGAAGAACAAGTTCCTGGCTCGACGCTTTAAGGTAAGACGGGACGTTTTTCAGTTTTTATGTTAAGTTTCACTTTTTATTTTGTATTTCGGCACAAACAACAAAGTGGTACTTTTTCTTTTTGCTTTGAAAAATGCCTCAAATGTCAAATTAAAGAATTTTGAATCAGGAGATTACGACTTCTACGACAAGCCATTCAAAGCCACCTTCGATTACTTGACAGTTTTCCATTCTCTGTGCTACAGACGCATCAAAAAAGTACCCAGCCCTACTTTTATGCAAGCGATCTATTTTAGCAACATTTGTCAGTGTCTTCCATCACCTGACTTGTTTGATGGTCGGATGACGGATGCCCCTAGACCCACATATTGGCTGGATGGTATTGCTGACCGCTGCATTACTGGAAGAGCACTCATCCTGTTTTTGAGTGGCTCACATGTTTCAGATCCTGCCCTCAACATCCTCATTTACTGTATCTCTGTCTCTGTCTCAGTCTCTTCGTTTCTTATTATCTCTCTTGCTACATTATTTTTTTTTTCTTTTAATTCTGTCATCAAGAATGAAAGAAAGAAGAAATTCCCCTGAAGTATGTTTTAGTCGTAATTGGTTGGGTAACATGATAACCTCTTTTGCAACACGTTTACACTTTTCCTGGACACACACACACACACACACACACACACACGCACAACTGAATTACTGTATGAAGTTGAATTTCCCACGAAATGGTTGTATTACTGTTGCTATGCCAACCAAGACACTGATTTATATGAAAAACAGCAGACACAGAAGAATGAATTTAGTGAAGTAGTTTTCAGACTGAATGTAATGAGAGGAGGGGGCAAAGGGAGGGAAAAGAGGAATAGTAAGAAAAGCAGAAGAAAGACCAGATTTGTGTTTTAAAACTTTTTTTAAATCACTGTTTTGTCATTTTTTGTGTGGCAGAAAAGGAAACTCGCACACAGACTATCATCATATATCTGTTTGAATGCAATATAAGAGGTATCTTTTTTTATATTACATATTTCCTTTCCTTTATTATAAGGCTCAAAAACCGGTTGATGGGTTGAAAAAGAGTTCCCTGAAGGTTACCAGAAATATAAATTGGCAGGGGCCTTTCCTCTGGGTACTCCGGCTTCCTCCCACAATCCCAAAACATGCACATCAGGTTTATTGCTTACTCTAATTTGTGAATTGGCGTCTCTAAATTGCCTGTTGGTGTGAATGTGAGCGTGAATGCTTGTTTGTGGCCTCTGACACTTCTCAGTTGCAATCAGTGGCTTCAGCAGGACGCTGTGACGCCTTTCACTGACTTCAGCGCTGCGGAGGAGGAGGAGCTTAAGTTATACGTATACAGTCTCTTGAACTCTGAAGAGAGTTTGCACAGACTCAGATGTTCGTTTGATGTAGTGATTCAGTAAACGGTTTGAATCACACAGCAGTCTGCAGGAGCACCTGCACATGACATACTGTATATAAATATTTCTACCCTGCTGTCATTTTTCTTTTTCTCACATCATTATCACACCTCCTCTTACTCTCTCTTGTTCTTTCAAGGCAAGAATTTTATCAGAATAAATCAGAAGCATTGAATCAATCCTCCCTTGTTTGAAGTAACATGTATTCACCTTATTTGTCCAAATGAAATTGTGGTAAAGAGCTCTCTGTTCGCAGGAAGCAATGTGGAAAAGTGACTAAGCACACACATGTTTTTTGACTGCGCTGTTGATGGACACTTTTGTCCCACATACATAAAAAAATCAAGCATCAGAACTTTTCAAACTATACTGATCAAAATCCTTTTTCATGTTACAGTAGTGCTGAACAATAGAGATAGAAGGTGCAGCCATAACTTTTATATGGAAAAAAACTGAACAGTTAAAGAGAAAAAGCAGAATAGATGTTTATGTATCAAAAATAAATTAAATGTCACGATTTAATTGTGTAGATACATTGTTTGTTTTTATGAATTATGGCCCATAACCCGTTAAATTCAAAAGTATTACAAGTAAGTGTTCTTTGGGTTCATAGCTTGAAAACACATCATAGCATTAAATGGTGCTTACGTTGTTGGAAATAGCGACAAGTTTTTAGTGAAAAATACATATATTATGAGAATTGGTATATAGTGCATATTGTATAGAGGTGGGATGTAGTATGGGATTGGGACACAGCATGAGACTGAAGCAATAGTTGTTGGTCTGAGGCATTATAGACCAACTGGGTTAGTACATACGAGCGTGCTGTAATGTTTTCTGACACGAACAGTCTGCAGACATACCAACATACGACATTATACTTTAATACATTTCCCCCCCCCTCCAGCTGTTGGAGCAGGCGCTAGTGATCGAGGAGCAGCTGCGGCGGGCGGCCTACCTGAACATGACCCAGGACCCCACCCACCCTGCCATGGCGCTGAATGCACGCTTTGCAGAGGTGGAGTGCCTGGCGGAGTCACACCAGCACCTCAGCAAGGAGTCGCTGGCGGGCAACAAGCCAGCCAACGCTGTCCTGCACAAAGGTCGGGGATGATGGGGAGAAAAAAAGTTTCTTTTTTTAAAATCTGTTTGTACAAACATTGTGACAGAGACGGACAGATTTAGATGAAGTTGGAGAGATCGGCAAACAGATAAGCACAGACGTACAATGAAATAGAGATACGCATCATCAACACATCTCACCAGCGCTGTTGTGCAATCACCCCGTTTCCTGTTGCAGCAACCATATCGCTCTGCCCGGAGCGGACTTCATTTAAGCCAAGCAGATAAGCTTACACGATGTTAAGTGATAGCTCCAAACATTTCCTCACTGCCTGCCTGGCAAGTCTGTCCATGTTTATATTGTTCGCATTGCGTGCTCAGCACACTACTGTTCTTGTTCTCGTCTTGTGTTTCCACACGTAACAGCGCTGAACCTCATGAACGCCCGTGAATATTTTTTTTTTTTATCAAATTGCAAAGCGATGCTGCTGGTCTGTAATCTGTGATGAATTCCATGTGGGGATGTGATGACAGAATGAGAAATGGGCCTAGTTGAAATTGTGTTAATAGTGCTCAGATTTAGTAAATGATATTTATAATAAGAACTAGGAAGAACGTTTTAGTGCTTCCTTAATGGAGGTTGCAGTGACCCTGAACATATACAAATAATATTACCTGTATTTACTTTCCAAAGTTGATACTGAAGCAACTGAATATGTACCAGATCCTATGTTTTGACCCTGGGACACTTTTTTCCTGCATAATAAAAAAAGTATCAAAATAAAGCATCAATAATGAATCAGACGCCCAAAAGAAGCAGGAAGTAGAAGTTAAAACCTTTAGATATGGATCAAAAGTGGAGCACTACGTTTGTCCTCTGGTAAGTCAGTAGTTATTGATGTTTGTTGTTGTCATTGCAGTGTTGAACCAGTTGGAGGAGCTGCTGAGCGACATGAAGGCCGACGTGACGCGGCTACCGGCCACGCTGTCCAGAGTCCCGCCCATCGCCGCACGCCTGCAAATGTCCGAGAGGAGCATCCTCAGCCGGCTGGCCAGCAAGGGCACTGAGACGCACACACCCCCGGTCAGCAGCCTGCTGCTGAACACAACACAACACACACACACACACACACACACACACACACACACACACACACACACATTCTAACAGCCACCCTCACAAGTTGAAACCTGCTCAGGCTGCCTGTGCTCAGTGGAAAAATAATAGATGGAGGGCGGCCAATGAAAACACAGAGCCCATTATCTTGTCACCCACCTGTGCTTTTTCCACTCCACAGCTGCTTATTCAGCAAATTTTTTCTCATCTTATGTAACTCTTAAGTGGTTTGTCTTATTTTCCTTATTGTTATCTCTTCTGTTTTTATACATCATATCCCTTCTGTACATTATTCCTAAAAATAAAAGCTTCTTTTCCGTGTACAGCCCATACCTCCAGGACCCTACGCCACCCCTCAGAACTATGGAGCCCCCTTCACCCCTGCCCCCCCAAGCGCCCTACACATGGGAGGGGCCAACTACAGTCAGATGCCACCGGGATCCTTCATATCAGGTCAGTGTTTCAGGCTCCACTGACACTGACATCCTCTGCCGCTGTAAATAATGGCGAGGTCGGATGTTGGAGCCGTCATTACAGACATATGTTGTGCTGAAGCCCAGAGGAGTTTGTTTTAATTTCAAGTTAAGATATCGAGGTGTTACAGATATATCAAATATGTCAGGCTGAATTAAAGGGAAATATCTATAAAAAAAAACGATTCCCTGGATATCTTTTCATATAAATGGCATTTTGGGCTTTAATATTTCAGTTGATATACTTTTGATTTGAAGAGCTGACACAAACAAATTCAAATATACTTGGTTTGCATGTGGACAATTGTCTAATTGTATTTTGAAACTATTTAAGGGATCGGTTAAAAAGGTTTTGGGAACATTGGGTTTCACCTACAAGTGGAAATGATCTGTCTGTGAATCTGAGTGTGAGAAAAAGCGTTACAGTCAGTTTTAATAAACAGATATTATTAGGGCAATCATAATTACAGGAGTCAGGGTAATTTACAGAAGACGAAAACCAGTTTGTTTGATCTGTTTGACATTTGGCAAGCCATTGATTTTAAGGCTGATTTATGCTTCTTTGCGGAGGTGTTATTGCAATTGCACCGAAGCTGCCTCTGGCACAGGAACTGATTTATGGCTCAGCAGAGAATTCAACCTGTTGATTGTTGTAGCACCACAGCAACAGTCGATTTAGTACATTACAAAGCCATGTTGTGCTTTCTTTGTGTACCTGAAGGAAACCTTTCTTTGAGTTATGGGTAATGGATGTGATGATGATGATAAGGTTTGAACCATAAAAGACTTTGCCACCTAGAGCATAAAATACAAATTTGTTTTAACTTGTCATTTTTAAAGGGGCCTGTAAAAACAGTTGTATAATGTCTTAAATGGCTCTGGAGGAGAAAATAACCCTGATGTCATCTGGGTTATCTCAGCGTGGACGTGGAGATTACTTACTTACAACGGAAAACCTGCATTACAGACTAAGGGCATGGAGTTTGACAGACTTTTACCAGGCAAGAGGGTCTAATGAAAGACACTGCTGCATTATGGGAAATGTAGGATCTAGTGTTTTTGGAGCTTAACCCATATAACGGACTGAAGGTCAGGATATCTCGGCCTCTGCTGCATCAGTTTTGAGCATTTTTATTTCAATGCATCTCATTATGCAGGTGGGGTTTTGTTACGAGACTGATTTAAATCAAAACTTTAAGATTTGATTGAATTGCTCAGAAGTGGGCGTGGCTTGAGCAGTATAGCACCTCCTACTATGATACTGCTAGCTACTTCCACCGCCTCTCTCTAGCCCTCTGGCTGCTATGACTCACATGCTAACGGTCAAGTGAGGTTATATATGACGTGTGGGTTACCCAGGCATCCTGGATCACACACATTCACCCAAGTTTGAGATGAGTCATGAAAAAAATTTAATTACAGGAAGAAAAAAGCAAGGGATTTTAATATGAAGAGATTTGGCGTACAACAAGACATAACTCGGCAACAAACACAGGGAGACGAGATCAAGCCTTGGAAATTTTATTTTATATCTCACAGTGTCTTTAAGTTCACTTTGTGATGGGAAGCAGCAAGAAGGTTTTGCACCTAAAGTGACTTCGCTATATATCACAGAACAGAAGTTTGTGTAGCGTGTAGTTGTGTTCTTCAACCTTCTCATCTTTACTGGCATCAGAGACTTGTATGAGAAAACACAGGCAGCCCAAGCTGACTAGTTACAGCTCTTGTGGTACGTCTGCAGCAGTATTATAGTTACATTTCTCAGAGGGTGCTCGTCAGCTCCAGCAGAGCTTCAAGAGGCTCCACGACACCCTGACGGAGAAGCACAAATTTTGGCTTTAGAGATCTGGATTTGATTACTTGGCAACTTTCACTGATGATGGGCAAATCCAGTCCAAAACATTGCTCCTATTTAAAGATATCATCTGAGGAATTCCATCTTTATATGGTTATGTTGTTGTGGAAAAACATTTAGTAAAGAAAATGAAAAAAATGTTCGGGCTTTATTGTAATTACTGACTGTGGGAATTTCAGGAGAAGTTTTTATGCTCTACAGTTAGTTCTGTGATCAAGTACAGGCTTATTTAACTATTAAATTTCAGTATAATCCTTAAATATGTGGAATAAAGAACCACTACTGATGGCTTCTAAAGCAGCACTGTTTAAAGCACTTTGAATAGACACTTTATCTCCCCGAGCAGCTTAGGTTGTGAAACTTTCAAAATCCAGAAAGGAGTCCATATCGGAAAAAAACATCTGTAGCAGAGTTTCTGATGTGGCTGCCAGATAAACACCTGAAATAGACATTACCAAAATCAAACACAAACGTGCTGCTCTGCTATATTAAGGCATTTTCATCTCTTAACATGTCCAACCTCAAAACCTCAATACTCTGCTCAGCAGTAATGACACATTGTGCAACAATAAAAGCACAGTCTGTGCTATCAAACCTGCCTGAGGAGTATTTTCTTTTTCAAAGCGTGTGTATTCTCTCTTGTGAAGTGCTATTGTGGCACTTACTACTTATCGAGTCAAAAGTTTGAGAATTAAAGTCATAAAAATAAAAAAAATAAAAAATAAAAAGGAAATCTATTTTGTTTTGGCCTCTTGTCCAACTTCCCCCGTCTGCAGTATGTCAGCGCACACAGGCAGTTTGTGAATTTATTTTCTCATAATTAGTTTGGTAACAACATATGCTCAGCAGACGCAGTCTCCGCTCTGCATGTGCATTCGTGTTCGGAGATGTTTAGATAGCTGAGATGTGGCAGAGATAACTGGTAAAACCTGATATTCCCCAATAGCTTTGCCGTAAAAACCACAACAGCCAGCTCTCTCAGTGCTGCGCCTGCCTCTCACTCAGTGTATCTTGATTTATGTAATTGTAGACTGAGACATCTGTCAAAAGCATTGCATTTTAGAGAGCCAGAGCCTATCTCTGAAAATGTCATTATGCTCAGCCTGTCTGAGTCTGGCCATGCCAAGAAAACATTCGGACTTTGTACCAAGGTATTTTGAGAGGGACAGAAACCGCAGAAGTAGTTTAGTTGTGTAAATGTCGTGTTGTGACTTGTGAGCCGGCGGAGGGTTGGGCCCGGCGACGGCTGTTCAGAAATAGTCGCGCGCGAGTTGTGTTGCTCCGTGGGTTTTTTTTTTTTTTTTTTTTTTTTGCTCGCGGGGGCCTCGTGGCGAGCAGCTGAGCTGAGCGCAGGGCCGAGCTGGGCCGAGTCGACTCTGTACATCCTGAACTCTGGCAGGGCACAAGCATGCAGCAAATGAGGCCGCATTTGTGGTCTTGATTGGGGTTCTGCTGGTTCCTGACCTTTTTAGATTCAGCCAGAGAGGAAAAAAACGTGAGCAGGAGAAATGGACGGAGTTAAAACAACACAATCCTCTGATTTTGCGACCTCCTAGCTTCCCTCCATTAACAGCACTCTCCTGAGAAAAGCTCCCTCACTTGAGTACACAAAACATGTCCAAAAATATGCATGTCTGCCGTGGCACTTTAACTACACATCTACAACTTTAGCTGCACCCTGTGAACTCTGCTACAAAATGTAATGATACACCAAATGCTTCGATGAAGGATTGTTTTGTGCTGTCTCACACATGGCAATATCTCAGCATTTGCTCAATATCTTGAATCGCATTTTGGAAAACCTGTTTCAGCCATCAGTACTACCATGAGGAAGCTGCTCATCTGCACTAAAAGGAGTCCCACAATCTAGACAAAGCTTCATCTTTTAGGGGCGTAGAGATTAGAGACATGGAGTCGAGCGCATGGGTTCAAGCCCTCGTGCCTGCAAGCACCTGCCCTGCTGAAGTGTCCTTGAGCTGGACGCTGAACACTCACCAGCTCCAGTAGCTCCCCCCCTGACCTCTGACCTCCCTGCAGAGGAGGGAGGCAAACTAAAAGAGAATTCCCTACGGGGACCAGTAAAGTGTCACATTATCCTGCTCCCCTCTCCGAGTCTCCACTACAGTCTGCCGCTTGTCTGCCCCCACAGAAGCCGCCGCCGCTGCTGGGGCCACCGGGGTAGCTGCTGGGGGAGCCGCCGGAGGGCCAACCGCTGCCGGCGTTTGCCAGAAGACCAAGGAGCATGATGTGGTGCAGCGGCAGCGAGTGGTGGACCTCTGGAAGGACGGCAAGTCAGAAGGGGCCATCGGGCAAGAGCTGAGGATGCCCAAGTCCACGGTGCACAGCATCATCGTCAAGTACCGGCTCAGCAACACGGTGGAGAACCTGCCACGCAATGGCCGACCAAAGAAACCCTGAGGCCGGAGGGGGAGACTCACCAAGGGGGAACAAGAAAGGACGTTTGGATAAAAGATCCTGGAATGTAGTAAAAATAGAAACTGAAAAAGAGACAGTGGAAGCTGAAAAGGAGAGACAAAGACCTGAATGCCTAAGGAGGAAGTCCAAAAAGGACCCAAGGGCAAGGGACACTCCTGGACTGAGAGGAGGAATATAAAGGGAGAAGTAAAGCTCACTGGATGGATCGCACAAGTAGAGGAGACAAGAAAGTAAAAAGGAGAGGACACGAGAAGTGAAAAGAAGTGCTCCACAAAATAAAACAAGCAATTAACCACAGAGGAAGAGGGAGGGAGAGGTGAAGAGCTGGCTGGGACATCAAGCACTAATGATGCATTGGGGGGGAAATGAGGCAGAGAGACAGAGAAAAGAAGAGTTGACCTGTCTGGATAAAACAAATCCTCAAGCACAGATTAAAGGCGCTAATGAAAAAAAGTCCAAAAATCTGACTTTGAGAGGAAAGACTGAAGAAAGAAGGGAAAAAAGACAGTATGTTAATGCAATCACAGGTTTTCAGGAATTCAGATATAAAGGCCAAATTGAAGAAAAATGCAACAAAGGAGGATTTCTTTTTTCTTCTTTTTTTTTAATTTTTTTTTTTATTCCTCCTCAGACAGATTTCCCGAGACTTCTTTTTCTGTTTCTCCCTCTGCGCCGGAAAAAAAAAAAAA